GGTTAGTTGTGCACAAGCAGGAAGTGGAACAAGAAACTGGCTCTCAGAATTACAAGTTGTTTGCCATTGCTAGAACTAAGGATTTAGGGGAAAACTGGCAGAGACAAATTCCTGAAAGGCCTCATAGGTGTTTGAACTTTGTTATAGAAACAGTATGGATTTGTAAAAGAAAGTTATGCCATGATCAGATTTTTATTCTAGAAAGAACATTTGCAGGATGGACTGAAATAGATTTACTTTATTAGGAAGAGACTTTTCACCTATTTGAACTCAAAATTTTGTTGGACTATAGATTTCCCCACCCCCACCCCACCCTGCTGAATCTCTATATATTTTTCTTTCAACTTTTAGGATTTTCTTTTTAAATAAATTATATAAATCATTGACATGGTTCAAAAACTGACAACTTATTTCAATCCATGTTTACTCTCTTCCCTCCCTCCCTGTCTCCCTTTGTAGGTGGAATTTTTAACTTAATTGTTGGTTTATGCTATCATTCTTGCTTTTTTAAGGTATAAGCAAATATGTATGAATGTTTTCCCCTTCTTATATAAAGGAAGCAGAATATAAACATTCTTTTGTATCTGTTTTTTTCCTAACTATATCCTAGAGATCATTCTATGGTTGCATGTAAGATATTCCTTACTTGTTCTTAGTCCTACTAAGAATAAATAAAAATAAATACTTTATTCTTCTAATATAGAAGGCAGGGGTACAGCCAGCGAAATCACGTGCTCTAACCCTGCCAAGGCAACTGCAGGCAGGACTTGAAATTCAATAATTCTAGGAGCTTTTTTCATAGCTAATTTTTAAGTTGATAATTTTGTATGGCCCATGAATGATGTTGTAAATATCCAACTGACCCTTGGCAGAAAAAAGGTTCCCCACCCCTGATCTAAGGTAAAGACATTCTAATAAACCTATATACCATTAGAGTAGCCTAGATTCAGGCTGTTTGCTTTTATCTCCAGCCAGAACTATGTCTTGCTTAATAGCAAGCAGTGTTGACTAGGTATTCATCTTGAAAGGCTAATCAAAATATAATTAAAAACATAGGCCCACGATTGCCCCCCAGATTCAGTCATTTATTCATCTACTTTTCAAGTATTTGTTAAGTAGCCACCTATAAAAGGTACTATGGTAGGTATTCTGGAAAAAATAAAAAGTACCTGCAAGAAGTTTATAAGCAATTAAAGTGATACCCCTTCTGCCTGTTTACTCTTTCCTAAATAACTAGTTCAACTATGCTTTCTTCTGAATGTTCTGCTATTACTGTACCAAACAAACTTGGTTGTATCTTCAGTGCTCCTCATACACTTGGATCCATTATCTTAAATATAGCACAGAATGGTATTTATTGGTTGACATGAACCATCTCCATACCAGGCTAGAAGTTCTCTTAATGGTAAGAACTGTCTCATCTCAGTCTTTCCAGTGCCTAACATGGTAGGTCTCATTTAAGTTTATTGAATATGTAGATGTCTCTTACCTTGCAGGTTAAAGGAGAATGAAATTGTGTGTAAGGAAAAGTGTCTCCCCTCATATTGCTGGAATTTCGAGGACCCAAGTAAAATATGGAAAGTTGTTTGTTGTTTACTTAGTTGAAAGGCAGTATGCTGTTTTTGGACCTCAGAACCATGTGACCAGAGGGTAGAAATTGTAGCAAAAATTATTTTAATGTCATAGCCCTTAGGAAGCAAATTTTTGTTTACTGTTTCAATGAAGAAAAATATTTTTTCCACTGTATTTCCATTTTAAAAATCCGTGTATATTTGTTTACATTTTAAGTATTTAAATTTATATCTCACTTTTGGAATCAAAAGTCTTCTTGCAAACTTTTATGCCGCTGTTTCCATGTAGAAACTAACTCCTTGCTCTTGAAAAGGAGAAACTACTTTCAGGAAGGAATTACTTTTTCATAGAGTAATACTTCCATCTGGTGGTTTTTCTGAAAATTACAGCAGAAGACTTGAAGCATGAGTTTTTCTATAAATAAACTATGTTACCTATTGTTTCTCATAAAGCCAGATGAAATTAAATCAAAGGCTGTCTACCATGTGTGTCAAAAATTTTAGTCTCTAGTTTTCAACAGTTCAAATGTGAACACCGTGTGAACAAATGGCCTTGGGGAAAATAATTTATAGAGTCAATTGTTTAGTTCAGACCATATCTAGGCTTTGCTGGACTGAAAATTAGTAATGGAGAAACTGATAGTTTTTCAGTGAAATATTAATTGCTTTCACATTTGTGTGTATAGAGGTTAGAAAAGATTGTGAGAATTTACTATTTTAGATTTATTACTGTGGAATCGTGACAGAGTCCAGGATTTTCTCAGAGAAGCATTACTGATTTTATTTCTTAGTACATTGTATTTTATCATAGCCTGATTATAATAAATCACATTTTCCTAAATTGATAAAACATAGACATAAACTTGAAAACAACTAGAAATTACAAATAAATTTCTACCTGTTACTATGAGAATTTTCAGCACATTTTTTACACATCTCTCCCCCCCAATTCCTGCTTTATATTTACTACAGCTAAATAGCTTTTTAAGGATATCCCTCTGGCTTAAACATCTCAAGTTTGTAGCCCAGGATTCTATACTTGGTGCAATATGCTCATTATCTTGGAGGAAGATTGTGACCTGATTGCTTATGTTTTGGCAAAACTACAAAATCTATTGACCATGTCACTTACTTTTGTAGATTAACATTAATTCCTTTTTCTGTTTATTTTGCTATAGAAAGGTGAAATATGAAATACACAAGGTTTAATGACTTGGGGTGTTCTGCTGACTTTTAAGAAAAGATTAAATTCCTAATTTTTCTTTGAAATCTGTTTATTTTCAAATTGCAGCCAGTCGGATGATGATTCTGGGTCAGCTTCAGGCTCTGGATCTGGTTCGAGTTCTGGAAGCAGTAGTGATGGAAGCAGTAGCCAGTCAGGTAGCAGTGACTCTGACTCTGGATCTGAATCCGGCAGCCAGTCGGAGTCTGAGTCAGATACTTCCCGAGAGAACAAAGTTCAAGCAAAACCACCGAAAGTTGATGGAGCTGAGGTAATAAATAAAGTATCCAATGAAAGGTAGATTTATAATGTTGATTTGTACCATTCTTAATCTAGCTTTTAGAAAACATTAATTTTAAACATTAAATTTTACTTTTAGTGATTCTCAGTTGTGGTTAAATATCTGTGGAATAATTGGCTTGTAAGAGAATCTGTAACTATAAAACAGCAAGTACAAAATAAACACACACCAAACCTTTTCTTCCTTTTTGTGGGGCAGAAATTGACTTTCATAAATATATAGTGTCTAACAAATAAAAATTAAAGACTGTGAGATCTTTTTGTTAATTCTGTAGTGTCTGATCTCTACTTTCAAGATCTTCAAGGAGATACTTTATTGCTAGTAGCAGGAGAACTCTGCTTCCTTGAAGATACCAGGTAGAAGAGACTAAGGGACATTCTGTTTTAAAAAGCTACTATACTTTAATAAAACTATCACCTTATAACAGTATATAGTAGTGTTACTTAGACTAACAGTCACAGGATGCTTGGACCAGAATATAAATCAACACATAGCTTTCTTCATGGAGAAAATATTGCTACCAAAAAAAAAGTGCTTAGTAACGTAGTTGATTTACATTCTGGCTTAAGCTCTTCATGTTCACTTCATACCACTTAAAAAGAATAGGCAGCCACACTTTGAATAACACTGGTGTTTCATATTATCACTTTCGTTTTGTAAGTTAACTTGTAACACCAAAGAACATGTTGTGATTAATATTGTCTATGAAGCTTGCATAAGTTTTTTATATACAACTAAAGCTCATTGTATTTTAATTATATTGCACTAATATTACATATATTGTAAGGAAGGTAGTCTTAATTTATTATTTGGAGGCAGTGAAGATGTTGGTACTACTTTTCAGTAAAATAACCTCTTTTCAGTTATTTCAAAACTTAATCCTTCACTGGTTCATATTTCTGTTATAGTTTTGGAAATCTAGCCCTAGTATTCTGGCTGTTCAGAGATCCGCAATGCTCAAGAAGCAGCAGCAGCAGCAACAGCAACAACAACAAGCTTCGTCTAATAGTGGATCAGAAGAGGTGAGTTTTCATTATGAAAGCTAATATTTTAAAAGTAGACATGTTGCCCAATCATTTAAGTAGGTAGGTACCTAAGAAATTATTAGAAACAGTGTTTTTAAAGAATAGATAGGAGATAACTATATATAAATATGTGTATCAAGAGACTTGAAATATAGACATATTTTCTCTAATAATTGTACTTTTAGGGATTAATCTAAAACAAGCAGTGGAAATCTGTGTGCATTTGCTCATCAAAGCAAAACTAGAAACAAACTGAATAGTAGGAAAATATACATACACAAAGACATGTATGTATGTACACATATATGAAGAAATGTTTAAATTGTATTTGCACAGAACGTTAATAGACTTCTCAACATATATATGTATTTTTTAATATATCTTTATTGATTTCAGAGAGAGGAAAGGAGAGGGAGAGAGAGATAGAAACATCAATGATGAGAGAGTCATTGATCGGCTGCCTTCTGCACGCCCCCGACTGGGTATCAAGCCCCCAACCCCGGCTTATGCCCTTACCAGGAATCGAACCCCGATCGCCTGGATCCTAGGTCGACACTCAACCACTGAGCCATGTCTGGCCAGGCTCAACGTATTTTTAAAAGAATAGGCTGCAGCTATAAACAATAGTTCCTGTGTACATGTGAGCCTAATGGGGAAGAAAAATAATAAAATTTGATATACCAACAATTAGGATTCCTTTTTGAAACCTTACTAGGAAATAAAAATGGTCTCCAGGGTTGACAGATTCATTTTCTCAATTATCGTTGACATTCAATATCATATTAGTGTCAGGCATAAAGCATAGTGGTTAGACATTTACATAACTTAGGAAGTGATCTCCCCCCCCCCCAATCTAGTACCTACCTGGCACCATACATAGTTATTACAGTATTATTGGCTATATTCCCTGTGCTGTACTTTACATTCCTGTAACTATTTTACAACTGCCAATTTGTACTTCTTAATCCCTTCACCTTTTTATCTCAGCCCCCTAACCTTGCTCTCATCTGGTAACCATCAGTTCTATGAGTTTATTTCTGTTTTTATTGCTTGTTTATTTTGGGTTTGGGGGTTTCTTTAGATTCCACATCTTAGTGGAATTACATGGTATTTGGTTTTTCTCTATTTCACTTAGCATAACCCCCTATAGGTAAGATTTCATTCTTTTTCATGTTTGAGTAATACTCCATTTTATGTATGTACCACAGTTTTATCCAATTGTCTGTCTATGGACACTTATCTTGGCTATTGTATATGCATTGTTCTTTTTTTGTCTCCTGTTATAGCCTTTATTTTTAAAGTCTGTTTTGTCTAAGTATAGCTACTCCAGTTTTTTTTCATTTCCATTTGCATAAAGTAGCTTTTTCCATCTTTTTACTTTCAGTCTCTGTGTGTCTTTCGACCTGAAGTGGTTCTCTTGTAGACAGCATATGTCAGGGTCTTATTTTCTTCTCCGTTCAGCTGCCCTGTGTGTTTAGATTGGGACATTTAATTCATTCCATTTGAATTATTGATAGGTATGTAGTGATTGCCATTTTATTTCTTTTTTTTTTTTTTCCCCTCCTTTTAAGGAAGTCCCTTTAACATTTCTGGTAATACTGGTTTGATGGTGATGAACTCATTCAGCTTTCTGTCTCTTTTGATTTTAAATGATAGCCTTGCTGAGTAGAGTAATATTGGTTGTAGGTCCTTGCTTTTCATCATTTTGAATTTTATGTCTGTGAAGTTTCTGTTAAGTCAGCTGACAGTCTTATGGGAGCTCCCTTGTATGTATTAGAGATGACAGATTTTAAAGTTTTGTACAAAATGCTGACATTGTAATACTTACCTAATTTTACTGACTGTGTTATAAATTTGAATAAAAATTTTATTGATTATTTTATGTGCTAGTAGCATAAATATAACAGCATGGGGAAAAAGAGGTTTTATAGTTGCTATTATTAGCCAAGTGAACTTTTTAAAAATAGATTGATAGATAGATAGATAGATAGATAGATAGATAGATAGATAGATAGATATGTTTTTATTGATTTCAGAGAGAGGAAGGGGAGAGGGAGAGAGAGAGAAACATCAATGATGAGAGAGAATCATTCGTCAGCTGCCTCCTGCATACTTCCCCTCCAGGTTTGAGCCTGAAACCCAGGCATGTGCCCTGACCTAGGAATTGAACCATGACTCTTGGTTCATGGATTGACACTCAACCACTGAGCCCCATTAGTTGGGCTCCAAGTGAACTTTAAATAGTATGACAAGCAAAAAAATTGATATGATGATTAAATTGCAATCATTAATAATGTTAACTTTGTTTATTTTTTTCCCTACAGGAATCCTCTAGCAGTGAAGATTCTGATGACACATCCAGTGAGGTCAAAAGGAAAAAACATAAAGAGTATGTCATTTTGTTCAGCTAAGTACTTACTCTCATATCCAGAGAATCCTAATGATTCTGTATTTCTTCCTTTATTAGAAATTGTTGCCAAAAATGGACTTTTGTAAATTCTTGATTCATAGCATTTTATTAGGTTAATTTAAACCATTAATTCTTAACATTTATCTTTCTGTGATGACTTAAGGTTTTTCTGCCACTTGTTTATCTCCTATAACCCGTCTCCCTTACATATTTTTAAACTTCAAAGGTCTGCTTATTTATAATGTCAGAAAATCTTAACTTGAGTATAATGGATCAGCTGATGATGGATATTGCGTGATTCTGTTAATTTATGTTAATAGTTATCCTTACTATTCATCTGCACATGAAATTTACTTTATAGAACTCATTTAGAAACTCACTGTAATTTCTTAGAGTGTTAAGAGTACTTCAGATTCTCAGTTCAGATACTAGATAGTCTGAGTTTTTTCTCTCTCTCATTTTTTCAAAAACATTTTTCTGTTGCCTCATATTTTTCTTTGTTGTTTCGCATTTTCACTTGGGTGTGTCTAGCTTTGAATATGTTATTTACTCTGCTTTATGCACTTGGTCTTATGCACCTTTAATGTGAAGACTTGTATTTTTTTTATTTTAATTTTAATATAGCCCTATTGATTTCAGAGAGAAGAAGGGAGAAGGGGAGGGAGAGTTGAAACATCAATGATGAGAGAGTCATCATTGATCAGCTGCCTCCTGCATGCCCCCGACTGGGGATCGAGCCCGCAGCCCAGGTACCCTGGCCGGGAATCGAACCATGATCTCCTGGATCCTAGGTCGATGCTAAGCCACACCCAGCTGGGCTGTATCTTTTATTAGTTTCTGAAAATTTAGTCATTGTATCTCTGGACATTTTCTGTAAGTCTGATACTACTATTAATAGGTGTAAATTTGTTTTGGATCATATCCATTGTATATATCTAGTGGATCATCTATCCTATCCTCTATGAATCTTACTGTGTCATGTTTTTTATCTTTTTATTGCTGTGCTACAATCTGGCTAATTTTCCCAGATCTATCTTCTAGTTTACTAAGTGCATTTTCAATTACAGTGTCTCATCAGATATGTAACTCTTCCCCAGAGTTAGTACTTTCTAAGCTCAGCATGGGTGCAAGCAAAAAATATTTTTAAAAACAAGAGTAATGTGGGATGATTGATAGACTTGCTTGGATATAAAAATAATTTATATTATAAAAATTTTAAATGGAGACTTTTCATATATTCTAGAAGCCTCTTGTGTTACTGCTAATGTGTAAACTCTGAAAAGATTTCAAGATAAAAAAGAATTTGTTTCTCTATTATGTTTTTATTATAAACCAGATCTTATCATATGCACTTGCTTATGTAACCATTAACATAGTCATTGATGCAAGAGATGCAGGGCAATGGAGAAGCAGTGACTGTAAGACAAAATATAGTGTGTATAAACTCATTTGGAGTTTATATTATGGCAAAATATTAAAATGTACACCCAGCATTTTTCTGTACATGTTGATTGGAATTAAATAGACTAAAAATAGTAGTAAAGATAATAATTAAAGGTAAGCTGGACTGATTTTTAAAAAAATATTTGTTTCTATACTCTAAGTTTCTTAATGAACTTGAATTAATTTTAAAAATCCGTTTTGAAGGGTATATTTTTAAAATCAGTATCTCCAGGAAATTGAAAGAGATTTGAAATCTTTTTTTTGAGAGGGCAAGTATAATGATTATACAGGTTTTAAAAAATTAAACCCGGTGACCCTTAAAATTAGTATACTATGTTTTCATCTATAATGATAATCAAAATAACACATATTGTCATTCATTGAGGTATAAAGTAAATGATTAACAAAACTCTGGAGTTATGGGAGAAATCTGACAAATATTTTCTAGCATTATTTTTCTACAGACATTTTGTTTTTAGTATTCATGAAAGCAACAATATTTTTAATATTCACTAGAATGCAATTTATTTTTTTGTACTTTTCAGAGAGAAAATTTGCTATACGATATAAGTATAAGTAAATATATTTTATATTTTTTATGTACAGTGAAGATTGGCAGATGTCTGGGTCAGGATCTCCATCTCAGTCTGGTTCAGATTCAGAATCTGAAGAAGAAGGAGATAAAAGCAGTTGTGATGAAACAGAATCTGATTATGAGCCAAAAAACAAAGTTAAAAGCAGAAAACCACAAAATAGGTAAGTATATTCTCGGATTGATGCCAAAAATTGTTGGATATCGGATGTATTTATTGGTATTTATTGTTTTTGTATATAGTTTCTCAATTCTGGTTCTGTGCCATTGTTCCTGTAAAATACCTCTCTCCCCTTGGTCTTTCTTTCCTAGATCTAAGTCAAAAAATGGAAAGAAGATTCTTGGACAAAAAAAGAGACAGATTGATTCATCTGAGGATGATGATGATGATTATGATAATGATAAAAGAAGTTCTCGTCGCCAAGCAACTGTCAATGTGAGCTATAAGGAAGATGAAGAAATGAAAACAGATTCTGATGACCTACTTGAAGTCTGTGGAGAGGATGTTCCTCAACCGGAGGAAGAGGAATTCGAAACAATAGAACGGTTTATGGATTGTCGGATTGGGAGAAAAGGAGGTATTTTTTTTTTTTTAAACATTTATTGTTTGGTGGTTTCAATAGTATTACTAGGTTAAATAAAGTACTTCTTGATGATTTGTCAGTTTTGAAAGCCATGGTAGATTTTTTTTTCTGTTTTACTTATTTCCTATAAAATATACTGTACGTAGCTTGAGTATTTTCTTCCGAACAGATATGTATTTGACCTCAGTTCATATATTGCAGATAATTAGGAATATTTTAACCTGTGTATTTGAGTTTTTCTGTTGCCATGCCTAAGTAATAGTTATTTAGGTACTTTCAATTTCACAAATGGTTTAGTTTTTTAAAATGTGTTTTTTTCTATCTCAAATATGTAGATAATTTTTAGTTATCTTGACATGTTTCACCCCCCTTTCTGTGTTATTGAGATATAATTGACATACAACATTGTGTAAGTTGAACAGCATAAGGACTTACATGTATTGCAAAATGATTACCACAATAAGTTTAGGTAAGAACCCACTATCTCATAGATACATTAAAAAAAGAAAGAAATTTCTCTTGTCATGAGAACTTTTAGAATCTCCTTTTAGTAGTTTTCAGATATACAATATAGCAGTGTTAAGTCTAGTCATCCTGTTGTACATTACATCCCTAGTACTTATTTATCTTATAACTGGAATTTTGAACCTTTTGATCACTTTTATCATATTCCTCCACCTCTCTTTTTCTATGAGTTTTTTAAGATTTCATTTATAAGAGAGATCATACAGTATTTGTCTTTCTCTGTCTGACCTATTTCATTCAGCATATGCCCTCAAAGTCCATGTCACAATGGCAGATTTCTTTCCTTCCTTATGGTTGAATAATATTCATAGTTATCAAACTTCTTTATTTATTCATTTGTTGATGGAACACTTAGGTTGTTTCCGTGTCTTGGCTATTATGAATAATGTTGCAGTGAACATGGGGGTGTAGATATTTCTTTGACATAGTGAATTCAGATATGCAGTTTTTTAAAATGATTTTAAGTTATTTTAGTTCCTAATCAGTTTCCCAATCAACAGTTATTGTAAATTGCTGTATGCTCTTAGGTATGCCACTATCTTTTGACTTTGTTTTTTCTAATTTTAAAACTGAGGTGATTAAATTAGATAATTTTTCCGTTCTAAAATTCGGAATTTTTATTATATATGTGCAGTGTAACTTCATATAAATTTTTGTGCCCTGATACTTGACTTATATAAGAAAGCACATATTTTTTCATTCATATTCTTCAATTTTTGAGTTGAATGGAAGTATTCTTATAACAGAATTACAGGGAATGTATTGTGCTTTCTTTTGCAGCTACTGGTGCTACTACAACCATCTATGCAGTTGAAGCAGATGGTGACCCAAATGCAGGATTTGAAAAAAACAAGGAACCAGGAGAAATCCAATATTTAATTAAATGGAAAGGATGGTCCCATATTCACAATACTTGGGAGACAGAAGAAACCCTTAAGCAGCAGAATGTTAGAGGAATGAAAAAATTGGATAATTATAAGAAAAAAGATCAAGAAACAAAAAGATGGTAGATATATTTTGTATTATTAATATTCTTATAGATTGAAGATTATTACTGAGGTTTTTATTAATAAGGAATGCATTGTCAAGAATCAAATGATGACCTAAAATAACTTATTTGTGGAGTTATTTGTATTTTGTCTCAAGGTAAAAGTTCTTAGGAATACCCACACCTAAATGCTTGACAATAGTCACATAGAATGTGTCTCATATATTATAAATTTTTAAAATTAAAAATTAATGATGCTTTATTTCTGTTTCAATTTCTTTATTATTTAAACTGGCTCACGAGATAAGTGGCAAAATGGGAGATTTTGTGCTATTGATAGTTTTTTGGGGGATGAATTATTTAGGTGAGATTCTGAAGTCTGTTCCTGAATTAATCTTTCAGGTTGAAAAATGCTTCTCCAGAAGATGTGGAATATTATAATTGCCAGCAAGAACTTACAGATGATCTGCATAAACAGTATCAAATAGTGGAGCGAATAATTGGTTAGTAATAAGTGATTCTAATTAAACATTTGAAAAAAGTCTTAAATTTATTGCTTACACATTAAACATAGTAGCTTGCTTTTACTATATGGTATTGTAGAACTGATGACTAATTTTTACTTGTGTGGTTTTTACCAAGAATTATTCGTTGGATAAGATTTAATGTAAAAAAATAAATATATGATTTATTTTACAGCTCATTCCAATCAAAAGTCAGCAGCTGGCTATCCTGATTATTACTGCAAATGGCAGGGCCTTCCATACTCTGAGTGCAGCTGGGAGGATGGTGCTCTCATTTCCAAAAAGTTTCAAGCATGTATAGATGAATATTTTAGCAGAAATCAGTCAAAAACCACTCCTTTTAAAGATTGCAAAGTGAGTATTGTTGGACATTTTAATTATTGAAAATGTATTGTGCATCATAAACATTACAAGCCCAGGTTAGAGAGTTGGATCCTAATTTCGGATAGGCTAAGGAAGAGAACTCTACTTGGTTAGTAGAACTTAGAAGAAATGATGTTCCTATACTTACTATGTGATCTTAGATGTGGCACTGTCTCTTAGCCTTGGTGAGTAAAACTGTGTCAGAAGATGATAAATTGGTGGTAGTGGTTGTGGTAAGTTGGGGAGACCAGATAGAGAAAAATCCCTTGGAAACTAGGTGTACATGATTGGTTTAAAAGGTAGTGAATATTTTCTTTGAAGGTAGGAAAGGAAAAGAGGGATGTATCTATAAGAAGGTATCCATGCTTAATATAAGATCTTTGTAATTTAAGTTATTAGTGATAGTTTTGGGGTCTAAGTACCACTAGAATTTGTTTTCTTATTACAAGATTGAATTAAATTCATAATGGTAATTTAGAAATCAAATGGGAGGATAAACTAGTTTTATGGTTTATTTCTAGGTCAGGGCTGGAGCAGTGGTTAAAGGGAATGAATAGCATAGGTTTTTTAAATACATGGGACCCAAGTATTTCAACAGGACTTAAAATTATCTCTTTAATTTTTCATTCAAGAGGTGGGCAAAATATTTCACTGTATATTCTTGTTTTAGTAACAGAAGGCAGTCTTCTTTGAATCAGCTATATTTTGAGTAATGGAATTTCTGAACTTGATGTTTTCAGACGATATTTCAGAATTTATGGTAAAAACTGAGATTTTTCATCCTTTAATATAATTTCTTACATTTAATAATTTTTTATGTTAACATTTATTTCTACTAAAGGTATTAAAACAAAGACCAAGATTTGTAGCCCTAAAGAAACAGCCATCCTATATTGGAGGACATGAGGGTTTAGAATTAAGAGATTATCAACTGAATGGTTTAAATTGGCTTGCTCACTCTTGGTGCAAGTAAGTATATTTTGAATCAGCTGTTTGAGAGGGTAAGAATTTTACAATTATAGAATTTAGAAAAGATTTCCACTAACATAAAGAATAAGACCCTTTAATATTTATATGCGGGTCTTTGAATTTTTTTGTACATAAATAATACTACATACTAAAAAGAAAAACCAGTGCAGTTTTGAGTTTAACTTGTTTGATTGTCGCAGTACTTAAATAAGTTTTTATTCAATTTAAACTCAGAATATGTATACATTCCTATCCCACACTAGTCCTGGACTATTTCTCTTCCTCCCAGTTATTTCTGATACTTAGTTAGCCCTCCAATTTTTCCCCTCCCATGTCCCCTGCTCCACTGTTGGCAATATAAGGTAACTAGGGTGCTTTTTAGAAAAAACTTGACCATAGCTATAGTTTTTCCTGCTATATGTTCTTCCTACTTACTTTTCACTTAATATGTTTGGACTCTACCACTTGAAGATGGATTGAGTTCTTGGCTACATAATTGATTAATTGGAAAATACTGTCCACTTTTAAGATTCTTCTGCCCTAAAATGGTAAACTCCCTCTCCTTCTCTTACACGTTTACATTTATTATTCATAGCTAATAAAAGTGGTATATTATGTATAATACTTACCAGATTAACTGGTCATATAAACTTACACATGGGTTATGTAAAAAGGTTTCTTTGTACATTTGAATCTTTGTTGCATACATGATTTTTGTTTTTAACTTTGTAGAGGAAATAGTTGCATACTTGCTGATGAAATGGGCCTTGGAAAAACAATACAGACGATCTCATTTCTGAACTATTTGTTTCATGAACATCAATTATATGGACCTTTTCTATTAGTGGTACCACTCTCCACTCTCACTTCCTGGCAAAGGGAAATTCAGACGTGGGCTTCTCAAATGAATGCTGTGGTTTATTTAGGTGACATTAACAGCAGAAACATGGTAAGTGGTTTCTTCACAAATTCATGAAATCTAAGCATACTCTTCTTTGAAGACAAGCATTTTATTTGTCTTTTAGTCTTAGTTTCTAGCACAGAACTTGCCATAAAGTAAGTGCTCAATACATATTTAATTGGCTGTAATTAAAAAATCAGTTTTGGTTTAGTGTTACTTTATAGATTACTTTTCCTTTCTTATGGGAAGTTTCAATTATACATGAAATCAGACAGAAGAGTATAATAAACCTTCATGTGCCTATCTCCAGCTTCATAGTTTTAACTCATTGTCAGTTTTGTTTCATCTGTACCTCTGTGTGGTACACTCCTCCCAATTATTGTGAAGCTAACCTCAGATATCATATTTCGTCCATAAATGTTATTAAATGAGTTAATCACTAGTGTTGTGTTAACTTCAGTGAAAAGTGTACAGTATTAAAGACGTCTGCTTTATTTTATAGAACATTTTGATACATTTTAATTACATGGTTAACATAGTTGGTTGAACTATATGAAGAATAATTTGAACTATTTATTACATAAACATATATACATAATTTTGTGTTTTGAATGGATTTTATTTTAGAAATTCAAGTAAAAGTATACTTTTTAAAATGTGTGTCTTAAAATTATCTTTAAAATTTCTTGATAGATAAGAACTCACGAATGGATGCATCCCCAGACAAAACGGTTAAAATTTAATATACTGTTAACAACTTATGAAATTTTATTGAAGGATAAGGTGTGTATTATCTATGTTTCTCTTTGATGGATATCAATTTTTCCTTTACAATGTGTTGTGGATAGAATGAGAAGATAACTTAAATCAAGGGTCAGCACACTGTAGCCTGTGGGTCAAATCTGGCGTCTTTTTTTGTGACCCTTGAACTAAGAATGATATTTACATTTTAAAAGGTGGTAAAAACAAACTAAAGAATATGCAACAGAGACCATACATTTGTCTGGAAAGCCTAAAATATTTCCCACCTGGCTCCTTAGATAAAAGTTTGCCAACTCTTGACTTACATGAAACTTGTTTGGTGTAGTATCTGTTGATTTATAAGAGAAAGAAGATAAATAGCTAACAGGATTGAACTACCACTGGGTGTAGCACTGTGTTAAAAGCTTTATAACTATTGTCTTGTTTCAAGTAATTCTCATTTACTTTACAAGATACTGCTATCTCTAATTTATTGGGAAGAAAAATCAAGTCTCAAAAGGTTAATGAACTTACCTAAGGTCATACAACTACTAAGTAGCAGAATCAGGCCTGTCTCTGTTTTAAGTTAGATCTATGTTTTATACATGAGAAGTGTATAGTTCATAGAAGCATACAGTGAATTATATTCTTGGAGTAAGACACTGATTCAAATTTGTATTATATTTTCTCCAAATTAACATTAATAAAGGCTTTACTTGACTAAAAATCTCTTAAAAATCTCTTAGGTTAAAAATCTGCTGTAAAATTTTTAAATTTTAAAAATTTTAAAAATTTTGTTAGTCTGCAAGCTAATAAAAACTTTCACTTGATATTATGCTGTTTTTTAATGAGTAAGTTGATCATGAAAGGAACTTTATTTTGCATGTTTAATTATTTGATTTGAGGAGTCCAGTTAATCTTGAAATGATAAAATTTTTATTTGAAATTTGAGATAGGTTTGTTTTTAATTTTAATTTGCCTCATTTTAATAATTTGAATTCAGGTCAAATGGGAAGCATAAGTTTGAATTCAGTTTTTTCCTCAAAGTATTAATATGTTTTTCTGTTCATTTTAAGGCATTCCTTGGAGGTCTAAATTGGGCATTTATAGGTGTAGATGAAGCACATCGATTAAAGAATGATGATTCTCTTCTGTATAAAACTTTAATAGACTTTAAGTCCAATCACCGTCTCCTTATCACTGGAACTCCTCTACAAAACTCCCTCAAAGAGCTCTGGTCTTTGCTTCATTTCATTATGCCAGAAAAGTAAGATAAATCGGAATATACAATTTTAATGTTTTTATACTAAGCTTAGCAGGAAGTAATTAGTGTAGGTAATAAGACCAATAAGAGGTTTTATTGCCTTAAAATGTTGGACCACAGGTTATTAAGAAGAAAAAAAGGGAAAATGGGATATTTTATAGTTGTAAGTACTATTTTGATTTTTTTCATTTTGTAAATAAATAAGCCTAAAAGTTGGTTTTGTCCATGTTCAAAATATACTTTGCTTAAAACATTCAAAACTGACTACCTTGCTGGTAATCCCATTTTCTAAATGAGGAAAACTAGACTACATGTATAAAATAACTTTTTCAAGGCCACAGACATAATCTCTGTAATTTCAGAACTTTAAGATTATATCATTTGATGAATATTTTAGTGATAATTGCTCCCATATTTGAAAATACTTCATCTTTATTTAACTCAAGGATTTTCATAATTTTATAAAACACCTTATATTTTATCTTTATGGATATGTAATAGACTTACTGGGAAGAATAGTTATTAAAACTGACTAATTTTAGCTAATTTTTTCCTAAATTTTTTTTGCTTACATATGAATACCCTGAAAAATCTCATATGCATTTGATTTCTTTCAGTAACTCTTCCATTTTCTTAAATTTGTAAGGTTTTCTTCCTGGGAAGACTTTGAAGAAGAGCACGGCAAAGGCAGAGAATATGGTTATGCAAGCCTCCACAAGGAACTGGAGCCGTTTCTGTTGCGCAGAGTTAAGAAAGATGTGGAAAAATCACTTCCTGCTAAGGTTGAGCAGATTTTAAGAATGGAAATGAGTGCTTTACAGAAACAGTATTACAAGTAAGTTGTAAACTAAGTACATGACCTGAACATTTCATTATAAATAGATTCCCCTATACTTGTCACGATGAGGTGTCCCCATCCTCCCAATAGGGTCTTGAAACAGTAATAATTCTTGAATTCTGTAGCATACTGGGGCAGAGATATTTAATGGCCTCTCCAGGGTCATCACCCATCATGGGTGATACAAGACTAAATAACTTTTTAACATATTGGTTGCTTTTCTATTGCATACAGTCTCTTTATAGAGGATTCTTTTTTCTTTTTTTAAAATATATCTTTATTGACTTCAGAGCGAGGAAGGGAGAGGGAGAAAGAGAGAGAAACATCAATGATGAGAGAATCATTGATCAGCTGCCTCCTGCATGTCCCCCACTGGGGGTCGAGCCCGCAACCCTGGGCACGAGCCCTGACCGGGAATCAAACCTTGATCTCCTGGATCCTAGGTTGATGCTCAGCAGCTGGGCCACACTGGCTGGGCATATAGAGGGTTCTTTTTAAGTGTTAGGATTTTCATGGTACTAAGGCATCGTTATGTAATTATGATAATTATGTAATGGACAGATAGAGGTAGAAGCCAGAAAGAGAAATTTGGGGGGGACGGAATTTCGGCCTTTTTTAATACATATATTAATCATTTTGTATAATGCATGTCAGATCTTACATGGTAATGAATAAAAAAAAAAATCTCTCCTAATACCTATTTAAACATCTAATTGCATAAAAAGTACTGCTACATGCATTTGAATTCTCAGAAACATTTTATGGTAAAATCTAAAAGTGCTATATATTTGAAAAAATTATTGCATGAATTTTAGGTTTTTATTATGGTAAATTCCAGGCATATGCAAAAAGAGGATAATGTAATGAACTCCCCTCACTCAGCTTGTTATTTTCAGCTCATAGCCAGTCTTTTATCTAGCCATCTCCACTTCCCCCACGGCCTATCATTTTGAAGCAAAAGAGAGGTATTAACTCTTTTAAGTCCCTTTGAAGACTAACTTGTAAAAAGGAAGAAAATAAAAGATGGTTGGAAACAAAGTGGTTCATGACGAGAAGAACTGTGTACAATTTGGAGTAATAAAATAACCACCCATAATTTTTCTATAACTTGTGTCGGTTTTGTGTAATTGTAATTTAGAGGAGGCAGTGTGGCTAACTAGGTATTCTCACAAGATGTCTTTTAGGCCTGTGTATTAGCTGCCTAATGGAGTGAAACTTAGAGGAAGATTAAGACATAATATTCAATCGACCATTTTTAAATTTTTGGGAAAAGGATAAATATGCTCTATCACTATGTTACCTTAAACCTTTGCCATCTATAATTTATGGTTCAGATAACAAGTTATTGTTAGTCTTATGAATAAGGTTTATCAATCTTGTAAACAAAATTTGTTCTATTATATGAAGCTGTGAATTTCCTAGTGGTACAGTTTTGCTTTGATGCTTGATTATTTTTTACGGTTTTATAATTCATCCTGGTAATTGTTCTCTGCTAAACATCATTTATATATATATATATTTTTTAAACAGATGGATATTAACTAGGAATTACAAAGCCCTCAGCAAAGGTTCCAAGGGCAGTACCTCAGGCTTTTTGAATATTATGATGGAGCTAAAGAAATGTTGTAATCACTGCTACCTCATTAAACCACCAGACAATAATGAATTCTATAATAAACAGGAGGCCTTACAAGTAAGAATTTTAAAATACTGTAACTTTGGTAAAACAAAAAATTCTGGAAATGTGTATTTCATTTATAACTGAAAATGGCTTTAATGTATTGGTTAGAAGTTCTCTTTGGTTAATAGTATATCTAAATAATGGTGTTTTTATCAGTCTTTATCAAAGCCTTTAATATTATAATTTATCCAATTAATTATTTTGATCATTTTTCTAAAAATGGATCTCTAATTATGAGCTATTGTAATTTATCCAGCAAAAAATCTCTTACTGCATTCTTAATTGTGAAAAAAAATCACTAATTATGATTATGCTGAATTTGTAAGAATGGCAGATGGTTGTCGTAAGGATATCTTGACTTCAAATCCTACCCTTCCTCTCACTTCAGGAAGACAAATGAGAAGTGTGAACAAAGCACAATTGCCATCCAGGCACAGTAGTGCTTTGAAGTGCTAGGATCATAAAGTTCTATATGTGTAAATTAGAGTACATTTTCTTACTCTTTCAGAACCTTTGAATGCTTAGTTCCTGCTTCTTCCAGTGCATTATTTTTCAGCTTAGATTTTTTGAGAAATATAGTGAAACCATGTCTTATTTTCTTTTGAAAATACAATAAAAACAGGTGCTAAATGGCAAGGATAATTTTAGCCTAAAGCATAGAGCAAAACAATAAAGGCCATCCTAGAAAATTTAGCAAACTGAAAAAACTGTTTTCCAACATTATGAAAATTTAAAATCTCAATTTAAAATAAACTGAAGTATTAAGTGGGGCATTTGTTTCATTTGATTAGTTCTTTTAAAAATTGTAACAGTTGTGATTTATTGTTTCCTTAGCACTTAATCCGTAGTAGCGGAAAATTGATTCTTCTTGACAAGCTGTTAATTCGCCTAAGAGAAAGAGGCAATAGAGTTCTTATTTTTTCTCAAATGGTGCGGATGTTAGATATACTTGCAGAATATTTGAAATATCGTCAATTCCCTTTTCAAGTAAGCATTTCATTTTGTCATTTTTGCCGATTTAAATTTCATGTAATGCCTCAGTATGTTCTATAAACCTTTGAAATTCTTTTGTAAATGAAGATTTTTATATAAACTACTTTTCTTTTAGGAAAATGTATGTTTTAAAATTCTAGTTGTGATTATCCTTTTTCTTCTTGACCTTATAGTTATCAGCAAAGCAATTTCTCTTCCTTTATTTTTAATTCTGTATTTCTCTTCTATGCTCAAATCTAAAGCAGCCTTCCTTATGTATTAGGCTTTAGTCTGAGGAGGGAAAAGAGAGCAGCAGTCCTTGTAAATGTTACCAGGACAGTTGCAGATTCTGAAGATTTATGTGCTCATAATTCTAATATATCGTTTGCCAAACAAAACCTGATGACCTTAGGGAAGATACCAGGGACCAAAATGGGTTTATATTCCATGTATTCAGTGTTTATTTTGAAATTCATTCAACATAATTAAAACAAATATGGATGAGTATTTAGTGTTAGAGTCAGGTGCTAGTTCCAATACTTCATATCTAATTATTTAATCCAGTATATATAGCTAGTGAATCATGTGCGTTTAGTTCAGGCAATAAAACAAGTAGAATTATAATGATGAGTCTTAACATTCATAATACCTACTCTGTTGGAGATTACAGTCTGGTGTGGGAGGTGGACATTAAGTAATTACAAACAAATATAACATAACTCTGGTAAGTGCTATGAAGGACAGGTGTTTGGTGATATGAACATGATTGAGAAATAGGTGATCATTTAAGGAAAAAGGTAGAAAGAGAGCGATAGATTTAACAGCTTTATTTAGATGTAATTTCTGTTCCATGCAATTCATCTTTTTAAAGTGCACAATTCATTGGTTTTTAATATATTCACAGATATGTGAATCCATCACCACAGTCAACTGTATAATGTTTTCACCACTCAAAAACATTGATACCCTTTAGCTATCAACCTGTGTCCCCCTATCCCACCTCACATCCCCACCCAGTTCTGTTTTTAGACAAATTGTTATGTGTATATGGTCAAATAAAAATATAGTACAGCACTGGCTGGGTGTCTCAGTGGTTTGGAGTGTCATCCTGCACACCAAAAGGTTGCAGGTTTGATTCCCAGTCAGGGCACATACCTGGGTTGCAGGTTTGTTCCCCACTCAGGGTGCATACCAGATGCAACAGATCAATGTTTCTCATGTTGATTTTTCTCTCTCTAAAAATCAATAACACATCAGGTGAGGATTAAAAAAATATGTATATGTATATGGAAATTGTGTGTGTGTGTGTGGTACAGTAGTACTTGTAACTGTTCTCTGCCCCTAATCCCTTCTCATTTCCAGATCACTTCCCAGAGAGAATCATTTTTAACTTTTTTTTGGTTTTAGATCATGCCTCAAAAAATGATATACCATTATTTTTTAAGTTTTTTCTAATTGTGATTTTTAGTGAAAAAACAAACAGTATTTAAAATTTTATTTTTATTTTAGACATCTGGTTAGCTAATGTTTAGTAAGCATTTATTATATCAGGGACTGTGCTAAGTGTTATCCCTCACTGAATCCTCTGTATTCTGTAGAGTAAGTAGTACTGTTATGCCCATTGACTAAGGAGGAAACCGACAAGGAGAAAAGTCAAATCACTTGCCCAGGCACTAATTAATACTTAGATGTGAACTATTTGACTAGAGCCCCAAATCAGAGATTCTCAAACTTTAACTTGAGGGCTTTTTCTGGACCTTCTTCAGAGTTTCATCAGTCTGGGATGGAGCTCAATAATTTACATTTCTAAAATGTATTTCTTACAGTGGGTTTCAGGCAGAATAACAACTTTACTATTCGGGGAAGCAGCCCTAGTGGTTAAGAGCACAGACTCCAGAAACAATGCCTGGTCATTGTTTTACTGCCTAAAAAGTACTTTCGACCCTTATAGTCTTAGCAAAAGCAATGCTGAATTTTTATATATACTTAATTTCATAAGTAAAATTCTTTTATATGTGGTATTTTAATGTGTTTTATTCTAGAGATTAGATGGATCAATAAAAGGGGAGTTGAGGAAACAAGCTCTAGATCATTTTAACGCTGAAGGATCAGAGGTATGGATGCTTTTAAAATTCTAAATTGTTTTAGTCATTATTTTTCTCATACTTGTAATTTTTTAAAAAGTTTCATTGGTGCAAGCCAATTTCGATTTGCAAGTCAGGTTTTTAAATCAGCATTGTATGTTATGTTCGTAGAATTTTACCCTTTCTTATCAGTAGTATTTCGGCATACGATAGTTCATTCGCTTCAAAGTGAATTAGCCCACTTTCATTGAAATTTTTTTAAACGTAATTTGATTTTGATTTTTCCTATGTATAGCTATATTTTGGAGTCTTGTTTGGTTTTGCAAAGGTGTATATATCTTAGTATTTTTTAAAACTACCTTTCAGTTTTATTGGTAAACTACTTTTTAAATTCTAACAGTTAATTGTAAAATTCTCATATTGATTATTTACAATTATAACTTGGAAGAATTTATTTTTGTGCCTATTTACAATTCCTTACAGGATTTCTGCTTTTTGCTTTCCACAAGAGCTGGAGGTCTAGGAATTAATTTAGCCTCTGCTGATACTGTGGTTATATTTGATTCTGATTGGAATCCACAAAATGATCTTCAGGCACAGGCTAGAGCTCATCGAATTGGGCAAAAGAAACAGGTATTTTTTATTTCCTTTATTTTACTATTTTAGAATCTTTTTATGATCAGTGTTACCTTGGATTATCCTCCTGGTAAGATCACATTGCTATTTAATCGATAGTGTACTGACACTCAGATTTACCAAAATCACCTGGAAAGTCTGACAGAACTGAGGTATAACTATGCCTAAATGGAATCACTGTCTTTTGATCACGCATTCTGTTTACAACTGTAGAGTACAATGTTTTTCATTTAGTATATAAACTTTGAAATGTCTTCATTTTAACTATTGAAAGAGATTTTGCTTTTAGTACATTACTACATTTTTATCAGCCTGTATTTTATACTTGTGCCTATAAGACTCTCTGCAAAAAAAGCCATTCTTGTTTTATAGTTTTTGTACAACTGTCCGACAATTGTAATGGGCCTTGAGAAAAACTGTCATCCTTTTAATGCCTTGGTCCTTGTATTTTAATTCATTTACCTTCATCTAATGTTGTACTTCTCAAACTTTTTCAAAGCAGGAGATATGAACACGTATCACAAAAAGGCTTAGCACATTTATAATGATTTTTTAAACATTTTTATTTTCTACGGAAAAAAATATTCGTAATTTAAAACTAAAAATGTTTTTATTCAGATAATTATCATAAAACTGCCTCATTAGGAATATATCGTGCTTTTTCCTATAATTTTTTGTACTCTGTAACAACGTTGCATACCCCTAAATGAAAGTTTATTTAAAGTAGTCGTTCTCAACTTCATCAGACCAAGTGACCCCTTTTTATAATTGTTTTTAGTACCCTGCTCTTGAAATAGGTGCATGTGATTTGAAAAGTCATTCTAATGCCCTAATAATTAGGCAAAAAAAAAAAAAGAAAAGAAAAGTTTTTTTCAAATAATCTGTTTCAATGTATATGACTTATACCTAGGATGTAAAGAATAAGTTTAGAGTTGAAAGAATAAGAGCAGGACTCATTCTCCATGAGAACTTCAAAGGAAGGAAAGAGCAAGGTATATCTGAGCATCAGAGGATAAAAGTTAGTGTTAGGCTAGATGATAACAGGCTTACTTGTATATTGTAAAGGAAAGGGAACTTGAAGTGGAGATGACAACATGCCAAGGCAGATCATAGACTGTTAAGACAGTGAGAAAATAGCAATATTCTCCACAGGTGAGCTGGGCCTAATATATATGTGAAGAGTCAAAATATTCTTAAGTTATGAATGAAATGGGGAGTAGTGATTAACTGCATGGAACAGAACCTCCTAAACACACAGCCAGACTTACATTCCATCTATAGTAGTTAAAGACCTTGGTCACCACATTTCCTAGTAGATGGTAGAAAATAGAAAACCATTAAGAAGGGTGCTACAGAAGGTTGCATAGTAGACCTTGGAAGAGTATCTGAATAAGATCACAAATAATGGCAAGACAGATTTCTTACTGTTACGTTACGCAATGTTTAAAGCACAAATACGGTAGAAACATGAAATGCATTTTTCTTGATTATTAATGAGATACATTTTTCATTATTGATGAAATTTAGAGATTCCTATGCTTTTCATGTACCTGCTATTTAAGTAGTATTTAGTTCTAAATCTGACAAAAGGAATCTCAGATTTCCTCTTAAATATTTGCATGCAGCAACTACAAAATAAGTAGGTATAAATGACAAATATCGTTTTATTGATGACACCAATACAATGAGCATTTGGAGATGATAGCTTTTGATAACGATCAAAACAGTATTTATCTTCTGATTAACACAGTAGTTGCAATCTGAAAAAATTAGTGTTTATCGTAACCCTGTAAAAATGCTTTATGTTTATATTAAAATAGAGTTAGAATTTAGACTCAATATAATTTAAAATGGTTTTTAAAATAATTTGAAAAACTTGAAAAAGACAGGATAATTCTTCACTGTGCCAGAAGGTCCAGTATAATGCAGAATGTCTGGTTCCTATACTCTAAATGCCTGTAAGTCCACCTAATCATTGTGAACACTAAAAATATTCCCATAAATTTTCAAAATATCTCTGTATGGTGGTGTCAATGTTTATTATGGAACCACTGACTTTGAGAAATAGGGCAAAGTTACTACACATCCAATTTTTGTCTATTTTGGAAAGCTTTGCTTTATGGCAGGACTTTATCATAACTTGAAGAGTGGTTCATAGAATTTTGGATTGTGTGGAATAATGAAATATCCAAATTGATAAAACTGGTTTAAGGTTGTCATAAAGTTTACCATTTTTTTTCCCCCGGTTAAAAGATGATTTAAAAATTGTTATCATTCTTAATTTAAAGAAAGCAAGTAAAGTCTTCTAACCAAAATGTAAGAAGGAAGGGCATATACCCTCAAAATAATCTTAGAGTTAAGGAAGAAACTTAGCTTTGAACACATTACTATATGTGTGTGTGTATTTAATTTTATTTTTATTTATTTTTTCATTTTGCTTTTAACCAGTGAAAACTTTACGTGGGATGAGCTTCAGTCTATATTCCAATATTTGATACTTCAGATTGGCAAAACAAATCCTCTTTGTTTCAGTTTGTTTGAGTTTGTTTCATCATGCGTATCTTTCCAGGTGAATATTTATCGTCTAGTTACGAAGGGATCGGTGGAAGAGGATATTCTTGAAAGGGCCAAAAAGAAGATGGTTTTAGATCATCTTGTGATTCAAAGAATGGACACAACTGGGAAGACAGTACTACATACAGGTTCTGCTCCCTCAAGGTAGTTACTTTACTGTAAAGACTGTCATTTTAGAATCCTACTACACTCATTTTTTTTTAAATGTTACACACTGCAAGCAGAACATTGTAGTAGTATATTTAGTGTTGTAATAACTTTTTAAAGCATTGGACTAATTTCTAGTCAATGACATATACTTAATACTTGGTTTCACCACTCTAGTTTTGTCATCTTGGGGGAAATCCCTTTAACATTTAGGTTTCAAGTTCTTTTCGTTTTAAAGTAAGTGTGCTACTGATGCTTTACCTATCTATGTCATATAACTGTTATAAGGTGACTGTGTCAATAATTAATAAAGGTGCTATATAAATGTTAAATTTTTAACTGTGAATGTTAAGTATTTTTATTTGTTTTTCCTGATTTTAGTTCTACACCTTTCAATAAAGAAGAGTTGTCTGCCATTTTAAAATTTGGTGCTGAGGAACTTTTTAAGGAACCTGAAGGAGAAGAACAAGAGCCCCAGGTAAAAAAACTTCAGAGTGTGTCATCTATTTAAATTATATTTAAGTATGAAGTACATTTACTTTAAAATATATTAAAAGTATGTTTAAAATTTTTTTTCTAATTATAGGAAATGGATATAGATGAAATCTTGAAGAGGGCTGAAACTCATGAAAATGAACCAGGCCCTTTAACTGTAGGAGATGAATTGCTTTCCCAGTTCAAGGTAAATTTTCTTTAAATTACATAAATTGAGAGGGACTAAGTTTGTTTCTTAATATTGTTTGTCTTAAAATTTTCTATGATGTATAAAATTCTTTTTTCCTTATTTTGACAAACCAGTAACTGATTTGAAAGGGAACAAATCATTTAAGAACAGAACAAATCATTTAAGAACAGTTACATTTAGAAGAATGGGGAGGGATATTATTTCCTTCAATTAGCACCGAGAATAGTGCTTGGCAAATAGCATGTCCCCAAATATTTGGATAAAAGAATGACTGTTATCTCTTTCTTAGATTTCCATGACTGGGTCTTTTATCTGATTTTTATTGGAGCAGTTTTTGACATTAGGTTAATTTAAGCATTATCACAACTAAGAAACAGCAAGTAAATCTCAGACAAAGTAAGCTGTAAGCTCCTATTAATACTTACAAATACCCTTGGTTTGGTGAGGGCTAAAAGGTTGCCAGGAGTCCTAAAGCACAGAGTAATAAGTAAGTTGTATTCCTCTGTATTCTAGCTATTTTCCACTGTCTGGGGTTTTTAAGGATCAGTTCAATTTGTTATTTGTTCATTCAACAATTTATTGATCACCTACAATGTGCCATTATAGGGACACAGCAGTGAATAAACACTTTCATAATTAATGGATCACTCTGCTGCAGTGTAGAGGATGTATTGTATTGGGGAAAGAATTAAGCAGGGAGATAAGTTTGAAGATTATTTCAGTAATTGTGGTGAGAAGTTAATCTTTATTTACATAAAGTTATACTATTTGCTTTTTTAATTTGACTAATTGAAAATTTGGGAAAAGTCACTGATAAATTAAGTAGAGTATATATTTATGCATTACTGATTATTTTATACCAGTGATTTGATACTCATATAAAGCTGGCTTTAAATAGTAGACATGAGAAAATAAACACTGTGTTTTCAGCCCCATTCCTAATGGAGGATAAGCACAGTTTTCTTGTCTTCGTCCAGTTATCTTTAAGTTTTAATGTATTAATATTGGCAGTTAGCTTTAATGAGTACTTTCTGTATACTAGACTGCACAGTTCTTTAAATATAGTATCTTATTTAATCCTGACAAAAGTTAGTGTGCTGTTACTATCACTTTTTTTAGAGATGAAAAACTAGGGCTTAGGGAACCTAAATAAATTTAGGGTTTTAGGGCTTCTGTAGCTTATCAGTACCTCTAGGTACTATTTTTATGAAAATAGAAAGAATATTGGATTGTTCTATAGCACTTGGTAGTTCATAGACTGGTGTGGTAATTCCTGCAGGTTATTTAGCATGTTGCTACTATAAATTACTTAGTTGTTCGGTTAAACTTCTCTAAATCTGTTGTAATAATTTTATTGAATGGCAGGACAAAAGAGAATCATTCTTGGAAGAGAATTCTTAGAAGTTATTTGATTTGATCTACTTTGACCTAATAAAGAAATACTTCAGATAGTTTAGCATTCAGCATTCATACTTGGTTTAATCCATAGTCATATTCATTATCCTGAAGATCTTTAAGTTTTATTGTCTTATTCTGATAAGCCACTTACTCCCCCTAAAAAAGAAAAGTAATATTTAAGGGTGAGTTGTTTTTTAATGCTTATTCTGTTAATATTCTGGAATTCATCAGGTTGCCAACTTTTCAAACATGGATGAAGATGACATTGAGTTGGAACCTGAACGAAATTCAAAGAATTGGGAAGAGATCATTCCAGAAGATCAAAGGAGACGATTAGAAGAAGAAGAAAGACAAAAGGAACTTGAAGAAATTTATATGCTCCCAAGAATGAGAAACTGTGCCAAGCAGGTGACTTTTTAATTTCAGACATGTTTTTATAATGTAAGAATATTCATGCCTGGACTTTTTTCTCTTTATGAGAGATACTGGTTTATATTTCTCCTGTAATGTCATCATCTGATTTAATAATGCTTGCCTCATAAACTGAATTGAAGAGTGTTCCCTCCTCTTCTGTTTTTGGAACGGGTTTTAGAAAATTGTTATTTCTTGATTAAATGTTTGGCCGTATTTGTCAGGGAAACCATCCAGGCCTGGAGTTTTTTTTGTTAGAAGAATTTTTAACTATAACTTCAGTTTCTTTTATAAATATGAACTATTCAAAATATCTGTTTCTTAAGTGAAGTTGGTAGTGTGTTTCTTTCAAGAGATTGGCCCATTTTACCCAAGTTGTTGGATTTATGGGCATAAAGTTATTCACAATATCTCTTGTTATCCTTTTAGTGTCTGTGGGATATTTATTGATTCCCCTCTCTTTCTTAATATTGCTAAATTTTTTTCTTGGTCATTCTACTTAGAGGTTTATATTATTTATCTTTTCAAAGAACCACCTTTTTGTTTATTGATTTTCTGGTTTAAATTTATTGATTTCTGCTCATTATTTATTCCTTTTTTTTTTTTTTTGCTTTAATTTGCTCTTTTTGTGTGTCTTAAGATTAGTAAGCTTAGACCATTGAATCAAGAATTTCCTTTTTTAATGCTACAAGTTTCCCCCTAAATACTGTTTTTCTGAATCTCTCCAAATTTGATATCTGTTGTGTTTTTATTTTCATTTCTTTGAAAAATTTTTTTATTTCCCTTGTGACTTCCTGTTTAACCCATGGGTTTCTTTGTTAGACGTATGTTGATTTTTGGAAGATTTTCCAAGTATCTTTGTTAATAATTTCTAGTTTAATTCTGTCATGGTCAGAGAGCATTCCCTGTGTGGTTTGACGTTTTAAAAAACTGTTTATTTTGTGGCCCAAATGAACAAAATACCAGATTTTTAAATAATGGTAACAGTGCTATGCCAAGCTATTTTGGATCCTGCTGCAAAAGGAAAAAACCTTAATGCTAGATTTTTTTGCATTAACTTTTGTTTTTTAGAATATTGCATTACAATAATAATCTTGATGACTGAGATTTTTGGCGCCTCCTTAAATTTTGAGTGTGAGGCATGTGAGGGGTTTCCCTTCCCTCACCCTAGTCCTTGTCCTGCTACTCGTCTCCCAAAGGTAGAGTTTTTTCTTTTCTTTTCCTACAACTGTGTTAGGTCTTATCCTGTGCTGTCCGTTCAGTAGGTGAGATGGATCTGGCAAGTTTTCCTGCCTATATTCTTAAAGGTGACTGCTCCCTTTCTCCATGGCTGCACCAAAAAGTAAAGTTTTCTCTAATTTTCCTCATTGCTTCCAGAATTTCTCATGAGCACCTGGTGGAGGTTTGTGGAGAAGTGCTTGAGAGTGGGTGCAGGTTCTCCCTTTGTCTTGGGTTCCCAGAGATTCTATACCCTCAAGGTAGCCCACATTCAGCCTTTAGCAAATTTTGCTTAACTTTCTCTTACCTGCTTTTATGCTACTTGATGTCTGCCATTCACGCTCTTCCCAAGTGAGCCAGTGTTCAAGCCCCATCTCTTTTTACAAGCTACTATATTTCCTTATATCTGAAACTATTAGATTGGCTTGTGATTTTGATGTATTTAAGAAAAGTGATGATTTTTTAAATTAGATTTTGTAGATTATGATTTTGTTGTTAGGGTTGGAGCAACCTAGCAACTTATCCCACACAGATATGGAGCCAAATAATGTGTTTGGCCTGAAAGTGACCATATATGTAGTTTCTTTCTTTATGTTTATTTCTTCAAACCCTGTAGTGGTTTCCTTTTACAGTGGATGGGAAGCATAGCATTATATTAGATCTTGTGAAAGGATGAAAGGAGGTTAGAACAAGAACCAAATGCCCATTCTGAACTTTCAATAAGCTTTCAGCATATTAAAGGTATTCAGAATATAAACTGAGACTTTGGAAAAATGCCAAAACTTACAGAAAATATGTTTTGGTGTATCTGTTAAGCAACTAATGAATGTTTAGTTGTTTTTATATGGGTTTTTAATAGGCTTTTATGTGGGTTCAACTGGCATTTTTTTCTTATAAATATCTAATCAATTTAATTAGAATACCAATAAGTGGATACTTAGGAGAACAGAAAAAAATGACACATAATCTGTCCACTCAGAGATAACCACTAGTATTATATTACTATGGTGTACATAATTCCAATATTTTTTATACATATCATTTGCCAAATTTAATTGGAGTATTAATGTGGAAGTTGCTTTCTTTCCTTAGACAGTATATAATGAATGTTAATTATTCTACAACACAACCTGTTTTTTTTAAATATATCTTTATTGACTTCAGAGAGAGGAAAGGAGAGGGAGAGACAGAGAAAGAAACATCAATGATGAGAGAGTCATTGATCAAGCCCACAACCTGGGCATGTGCCCTGATCCGGAATCGAACCTCGATTGCCTGGATCCCAGGTCAACGCTCAACTGCTGAGCCACGCCCGGCCAGGCTACAACTTATTTTTAAGTCCTCACCAGAGGATATGTTTTTATTGATTTTAGGGAGAGAGAGGGGGAAAAACATCAGTGTGAAAGAGAAATATTGATCAGTTGCCTCCTGTATGCGCACTGACTGGGGACTAGACACGCAACTTTTTGGTGCATGGGATGATGCTCCAACCAACTGAGCCACCTGACCAGGGCTACAACACAATTTTTGGTGACTTTCTTAACTTTCCATTGTATAGATTATTTATTCAGTCTCTTTGATGAACATTTAGATTGCAAAAATTTTTTTTTAATTCTATGATATAAATGACTTTATTGGCCACTGTTTCCTCATATTTCTGATCTCAGGAAATATGCCTAATGATGATGTTGCTGGATCAGCAGAATGATAATTTTCAAAGTTTTTGATATAATATTGCTAAATTGCCCTCTGTCCCAGTCTAAATACCCACCAGAAGTGTATTGCTGTTCATTTTTCTGTACCATTACTAGTATTAACTATTATTGCTTAGTTGGTATTGGTCAACTTGACCGATTAATAAAAGAATTGCATTTCATTGTTAGCTTAATTCTTGTTTTTAAAAAGTACCAATGAGGTATAATTTTATGCTTATATTATTTAATTGCTTAGTAATAACCTCATATTTTTACAAAAGGACATTGGGTGTTTTCCTTCAGATTTATAAGAATGCTTTACATATTAAGATGGTTAATAACTCATTAACATGCAATATTTTGCTGTTTGCTTTTTAATTTTGTTTATAGAATATTTTTAATATATAGAAAAACATTTAAATTTTTTAATTCTGTCATTTTTTTATAGTTTTCTTTGCTCTTCTTTAAGCTTGGATAAATTTTTGTTTTCAAATTCCAGATTAGTTTCAATGGAAGTGAGGGGAGGCGCAGTAGAAGTAGGAGATACTCTGGATCTGATAGTGATTCAATCTCAGAAAGGAAAAGGCCAAAGAAACGTGGAAGACCACGGACTATTCCTCGAGAGAATATTAAAGGATTTAGTGATGCAGAGATTCGGCGGTAAGATGATGTAACACCATTTTACTTCATTTTGTTTTTATTAGAGGGTGAAACTAAAATAAAGAAATCCTATAGTTTTCAAAGATGAAGGCGAAAGTGTTAGAGGAGGCAAATATATGATAATTGTTTAGGGTTTGGGTGAGTTCTGCTTTTGGGCGTTCATTCTAACTATGAGGAAAAAAATGTTTGGCTTCTAATCTTTGCGTATTATTTATTTATTTATTGTTAGTCTATTTAGACTGCTAAATTTCCTTTGATTTTATTAATGTGGTTCAGAACAGTGGCCTTTTTGAGTAATGAATGTATATTTCAATACATTAGGCTTATTTAATAAAAATTCTCACGGCACTTATGACTCCCAACATTACTGTTTTTATGTGAGGATAATTTAGTTCCATGTTTTTCTAGTTTTTTAATTCTGAAGTGATTTGTTTTTTGAAAGTAACCATGTTAAGGGTATTTCTGTTATGTCCAAAATAGGAATTGAGGTAAGATTGGCTATGTAAGATAAAATTGTCGTTTTCTTTGAAAATATGTTTATTTGTATATACAGATGTGTTTAAGGGGAATAGGATAACCATTTACTTCTGTTTATGTAATAATTTTGCTTATGAAATTTGTAAAAAGGTTGTTCATTGTTGTATTCTGAGAGTTTGTTGTTTCTTTCAAGCCATTGTAACTCTTTTCTTTTACATCATAGACCTGACCGATAAAGTTCTTCCTCATTCTTTCTACCAGAAAACTAAATATGTTGTTAGATTTTATTAAGGGTATTTTATGACCACCTGATTTGCTGGACTTTCTGTCTTTAGTTGAAGAGGCATTTCAACTTCTACTTTTCCTGGATATTTTTCCTCATCCATCAACCACTTGGGTAGCTTTGTTTTTAAGTAAAATTTTTATTTTCCATTGTTGGTATAATACGTACATCTGAATTAAAGCTATTTTCAGTAAATTTTATCAACATTTGGAATGTTAGGAGGTGTAATATGACTGACAATTCTGGAGACACTTCCTGTGGTAGTCTTGAACCTTTTTTTTGTCTTGTGAAAATAATAAAGTAATTTCTAAAATAAAATTTAGCTTCTATTGTTTTATTTATATTGGTTTCTAAACATCATCCTGGGTGATAAAATATGTCTTGTCTTATTTGGTATACTTTGATGTTTTAACATTTTGGTTTCTAGCATAGTTTATTCCTTTTTGTTAGTAACAGTACCCTGAATTAATTTGTATACTAACAAGTATTTTCTTTTTTCTATATATTTATAAATATATCTATTTTTTAATGGGTAGTGAAGCCTACATTTAAATCAAACAATTATTTTCTGCTAGGTTTATCAAGAGTTACAAGAAATTTGGTGGCCCTCTGGAAAGGTAAATACATTTGTTATTTTCATAGAATTATAGCATGTTTTATGTGCTTGTTAGCTTTATTTGTTTATACTAATACTCATTTTAGGTACTTTGCTAAGTTTGCTTTTAACAGACATTTACGAAGTTAATCTGTAGAAAGCAAAATTCAAGTATAGTTGTGAAAAATGTTTTAGTATCCTTAATTCTTTCTAATTTCTAAAATTTTACCTGCCAATGATGTTTCTATAAAATACTTTGCATTTTTATAATTCTAAGGTACTTTCAAAGGCTTTATTGTTTTTTTTTAATCAGAAACTTATAAACTAGCAGATTCATCTTAGAAAAACTGATTTGCTAACCTACTTATCTCATTTAAAGACCTGTTTTATTTTCCTTTACTGGGGAAAGTTCCTTAAGTTTTCCCAAATACAGTTTCTTCTTACACAAATTGTCAAGACAGGTTGTTTGTTTGTTTTTAAGTTATCAGTTAATTTCGGTCATTGTTTGTGACTTGTGTATTCTTTGTTCTTTGTTGTGGCAAACCCATTGTCTGGATATAGAGTGGCAAAGATTCAAATTGGTTTCACTGTTTTCTCCAAAACTCCCTCTTAAAGATATTTTTATTTTGAGGTGACTTGCATACAATACAATAAAAGACTTGCATAATTATTTTATATGATGAAAAAAACATTTTGAACATTAATATTCTACTCAGTGCATAGTAATAAAAAAGTATAGAACTTGACTCTTACAATGTCTTTTTCATTTATAATTATCATAACACTTAACCACTTCCTTTTGAATTTAAGATCTGGTCAGTTATGGAATGGTTTTACAGAATTATTACATAATCTTCAAATTTGGAGCATACCATTTGCTCTGTAATGAATTGGTTAATTTTATTATTATCCTTGAATATATAGATGAGTTGTTTCCCCATCAAATCTTCCTGGTTTTTTATGTATCTTGTGCCAATTATATGAACTAAAATTTGTAGGACTTGGAGTACTATAATTTGTAGAACTTGAGATGGAGTGAAACTTAGTCTGCATATTTACCTGAAAATTGTATTTTATTACAGATTAGATGCAATTGCTCGAGATGCTGAATTAGTTGATAAGTCAGAGACAGACCTCAGACGCCTAGGAGAATTGGTACATAATGGTTGCATTAAAGCTTTAAAGGATAATTCTTCAGGAACAGATCGGACAGGTAATATTAAAATGAGAGTGATTTAAAGAGAGGTAAATGGAACTTCTAAAATATGCTTTTATTGAGTTAGGTAGGCATTGTATCTTAAGTTACATTCATCAGTCTTAAAAGATGCTTTTTAAACAAAGCAAGGGCATTGCTGGGTAATAGGAAATGGGGAACAGAATTGTACTGTTGAAGGCAATGGAATCTATCTGCCTGGTATAATACTAACTGGGAGGCAGTGTCAGGAATTACTGTTATTTGTATACTGTATTTTTAGCATACATGACTGGGAAAAGATACCATAAGAATACACATGTAATATTCGTTTTGGGCTTAGTTACTTCATTATGCTTATTTTACAGTTGATCCACTAAATAAAAATATTTAGATAAGATGTAGTAATTAGATGTACTGGAAAAAAATCATATCAGTAGATTAATCTATCTTCTGCAATTGATAAAACACTTAAATACATGAAGTGCTTTTTATGAATCCACATCTGCTATATTACGATCACTAATATGTACTGAAAAATCTTGTAGTAAAGTTTAACATTTGTCAGTAAGTACCCCCAATAATATAAATAATACTAATATAGGTAAATAAGTAATACTTATTAAAATAAATAATAGCGTATGTTGCTTTTTTAGTTTGTAGAGTTATATATTTTATCTTTTTTTTTTTACTTTTTTTTTAACAAAAATTAAGGTGGTAGACTTGGAAAAGTAAAGGGTCCAACATTCCGAATATCAGGAGTACAGGTGAATGCCAAGCTAGTCATCTCCCATGAAGAAGAATTAATACCATTGCACAAATCCATTCCTTCAGATCCAGAAGAAAGAAAACAGTGAGTTGTTTACTTTTTCCATTGTAAAATATTTATCATTACTCAGTAATTTGGATGTGAATGTAGGTTAAAAATGTTTTTTATGTCATTGGCTAGTTTGACTCAAATGTTTTTAAACATAAAGTTAAATTCTAATGATTCAAATATGTTTTTCAAAATTTTAAATAAAGGCAATTGTAAACTTGACATTGTTATTAACTTTAATGCTAGGTATACTATCCCTTGCCATACAAAGGCTGCTCATTTTGATATAGACTGGGGCAAAGAAGATGATTCCAATTTATTAATTGGTATATACGAATATGGATATGGAAGCTGGGAAATGATTAAAATGGATCCTGACCTCAGCCTAACACACAAGGTACTTAAATATTTCTTTATTCTGTTGATCATTAATGTTGAATTTAATTTTGCTTTTAAATTATGTTAGAAATAAATTCAGCTAGGAGTCAGGAAACCAAGGCTCTAGAGCTGTGTGACCTTGGCTTCTTTAGAACCTGGTTTTCATGAAGGGATTGAATTTAAATGATCTCTGAGATTTTGCTTTACCTCAGAAATTATACATACATACATACATACATATATTTTATACTTATATTTTTATCCTCACCTGGGGATATTTTTTTCCATTGCTTTTCAGATAGAGTGGAAGTGGGGGAGGGGAGGAGATCTGTATGAGAGAGAGACATCGATTGACTGCCTTCCACAGGTACCCCGAACCCGGGCCCGGGGTTGAGCTTGCAACTGAGGTACATGCCCTTGGCCGGAATTGAACCCCGGACCCCTCAGTCTGCGGATTGATGCTCTAACCACTAGGGTTGAAATTATGTTTTTGTTATTAAGACATAGGTGTATTTTTCTTCAAGTTAAAAGTAAATCTTTCATCGCATCATTAACTAGATTATTCATAGGCAAGAAAAGATTCTGAAGTCTTATAATTTTTTAAATATCAAACTGTTTAGGATTTTTGATGATTTGATGTTACCACATTAGCGAAAATCATTTCTTTGCCTAGAATGGAAACCACTGAAAGCATTGCTTTACTTTTATCATTTAAGTTCCCTTTTTATACTTCTTCACAGACAAATGGGAACTTTCAGATTCTGGAATTTTTGTCATTTGCCACTTTGAAGCAAAACTTAAATAGTTTAGATTGCACTGTAAAAGTTTCCTCACAGTGCCTGTTGTGGGTCATTTTCTAGATACATGATACCTTCTGTTTTAGGAGGTTTTTTGTATACTTTATCACTAAAATACTGTTACGAGGAAGGAAGGGAATCTGAGAATACCCTAATGTTTAATAACACTGGATGCTAAATACATTATTGTACAGTTGAAAGAAATTTTTAACCTCCCACTGTGTATTCTCATTTTGAATGGGAGGTGTGTTTTTTCTCCCGCGTGTACTTATTTAAAATTCTTTCCCAGTGAAACTAATAATCTTTGGCTGTGGCATAGATATTTAAAAATGTATTTTGCAGTCTAAGTTGTTTATTCCTAAAAATTTAAAGACTTATAATTTGTTAGTGAATTATATATATCTTAAAAAATGAATAAGCTGTTTTTAGCTTTAAATTGTTTCATCTTATTTATTAAAGACAACCTGAAAAAATTAATTGCTTTTCAGATTCTTCCAGATGATCCTGATAAAAAACCACAAGCAAAACAGTTGCAGACACGTGCAGACTACCTCATCAAATTACTTAGTAGAGATCTTGCAAAAAAAGAAGCTCAGAGACTTTCTGGTGCAGTAAGTTAAAATTCAGATGCTTAGGAGCAGTTTACTTTTCAGTAAGATAAGTCTTGTTTACTGATTACCCCAGACCAGCAATTTTCAACCCTTTTCATTTCATGGCAAGCATAAACTAATTACTAAAATTCTGTAGCACACCAAAAAATACATTTTTGCTGATCTGACCAAAAAAAAAAAAAAGGTATAATTCTGATTCATACTGGACATTTATTATTGTGTTGACTGTTGTCATTTTTTTATTTGACAGTCTAAGGAAAAGAGGTCAGTGCCCCTTACTAGTGTCAGGTATTGAATGTTTTAAAAATTCTTGTAGCACAACTGTGCCTCTTGCAGCACACCAGTGTGCACACGGTTGAAAATCGCTGCCCTAGACAACTGTGGTTCATATGAGCTTTTAAGTGTATTTTCTTATAATTTAGTAGCTTTATTTGAATATGGTAATATTTTGCCTTAAATTATCTCAGCATTCATGTTAATACTGATGAGTCATGTCTTTCAAAAGTGAGATTAGTTTTTTTTCTTCTAGTATTTGGAGAGGGAGTAGAGGCAACTTGTTTAGAATGGAGTACTTTTTGAAAGGTCAGGTCTCCATTAATGTTATTTGGAGACACTGGAAAACTTAAGGGACAGCATTAAAGATTACAGTGCTTATTTATGAGGGGGCTTCAAAAAAGTAGGAAAAAGACTAAAAGAGAGGTGATGGAAACTACAGCAACCTTTAAAAGTTTACCTGTGACCACAATGTCATAACTACCTGTGTACCATTAAAAATGATTTCCAATGCTACTCTGGTTGCATTGAATTTAGTTGAAAACAATAACTTAGGATGGTGAAAACACTCCTTCTGTTTCTCTCTACTTCTAATTCTTTTTTTATTATATGACTTTTGCTGACTTTCTAAGCTTGGTATAGCTTATTGAGTAAGAATATGCATTTCTTTAGCTCTTTTGATTCAGTATTTAAGAAGTTTTCTTTTATAACTGGAATCTGTGGATTTGGTTAGAATAAAAGTAATCATTTTTAGGGAGGTTCAAAGAGAAGAAAGGTGAGAGCTAAGAAGAATAAATCAATGAAGTCTATAAAGGTGAAAGAGGAAATAAAGAGTGATTCTTCTCCCCTGCCCTCAGAGAAGTCCGATGAAGACGATAAGGTAAGAATGTGTTTTTAAAAAGAAACCTATTAAAAACAGAAAGGAACACGGCATGTTTTGGTGTATTTTACATTCGAAATTTGAACTATGGCCTGAAATTTTATTTTTTAGTACTGAAGTTTTTTTAAAAAATAGTTAATTATGCAGTCTCATTTACAGAACAGAATTCTACCCATCCAATAGAATATTATACAACACTAGAGAGATGGGGCAAAGGTCCTTCCTTTTCAAACATTTGCTGTTTGAATGGGGTTCTGTCTCCTTTAATATGAATTTTGAATGGGACTGGCTTACATTAGTTTTTATAGGAAGGTAAGCATTGCATGTATCATTATTAATGGGATGCTGGGTTATTTCTTTCAGAGTCCACATACATGCAATCCATAGTTATGCAAACAAAAGAAATTTAATCTTTTTCAAGATTTGGTTAGTAATACATTGGCCATACTTACACTTTCTAGGATGAGGTCACTTCTGTGAAACATCCAAATAAAAAAATTAAAACAGAAAAAGACTGAAGAAAAACCTGAGCCAGATGTTTGTATAAAAAAGGAACCAGAAGAAAAGAGGGAAGCAAAAGGAAAGGAAAATAAAAGAGAGCTTAAAAGGGAGATAGAAGAAAAAGAGGATAAGAAAGATGTAAAGAAAAAAGATTTTAAAGAAAAAAGAGGAAACAGTAAAAGAAGCTATAGAAGCTATGCAAAAAAAAAAAAAAGATATAAAGGAAGAAAAGATATGCAAATCATAATGTAAAATTTAGAAAGTTACACAATCAGTTTATTTACATTTTAGGAGAATAAATTGCCTTTCAGCCCAAAATTAGTCTCAATAACTGAGTTCAATATATGTGGGTATCTCTAAAGAGAAAAATAGTTTTAAATTTTTTTAAAAAAATAGGTTTGATCCTTTTAAAATTCCTTACCTATAAGGTAACATTACAGAGTACCTTTAGTTATTTGGTTTCTCCAAATAAAATTGGGTGAAGGTAAAATAGGAATATTAAATGTGAATAAACAATTGTAGACTGCAATAGAAAAAATTGTTTTTGGAAGAGTTAATTATTTTTCCTTTGTTATTGTTGGGTTTTTTTTTGTTTTATTTTTGTTTTTTCCTTAGTTGAGCGAGCCCAAATCTGATAGCAAGGAAAGATCCAAGAAATCTTCAGTGTCTGATCCTCTAGTTCATATCACTGCAAGTGGTGAACCAGTTCCCATATCTGAAGAATCTGAAGAGTTGGATCAGAAGACATTCAGCATTGTAAGTAGTAGACTTTCTGGTTATTAGTAAATATTCATATAACATTTAAATTGCAGTTTTATTCACAGCTTTCAATTTAGAAATGTCTTTGTACTTGCTGATACACAGTTCAGGTTGAAAAAACAATGTGTTTGAAAGGTATCTTAAATTTAGAATGTATTTGGAAAAACTTTTTAATAAATTAAAAACTTGAAGGAGAGGCATTTAGGGACTACTTAGAATGAACTTTTTTCTTCCAATTGTAGAGTTTTAAACCTTTTAATTCCCAAACCTATTAGCTATATAACAGTGCTTCTTATTTACAGTGAAGGAGCAGCTGCTTTTGTCATATTAGAAAATACAATAAAAACAAAAAGTGAAAATTAAAAAAAATATAAAAAATACAAGCCTGATGCTTTATTACTAGATTCAGTAGACAAAAATTGCCGTGTCAAATTGATATAAAGGCTTCTAAAGTTTCTGTACCTATCCCCTGGACCCTAGTGCTGGTTCATAGACTACACTTGGAGTAACACTGGCCTAAAATATACTGGTTTCATATGCTACCATGCTTTTCATCAAAGTAAGGGAGATTTTTTTCCAGTGGGGTTATTTGTTTTAAATTATAAATTATTTTTCAATTATAGTTGACATTCAGTATTATATTAGTTTTAGGTGTAGAGCATAGTGGTTAGACATTTATGTAATGTACAAAGTGATCCTCCCAATAAGCATAGTACCTACCTGACACCAATATTATTGACTATATTCCATAAGCTGTACTTTATACCCCCATGACTATTTTGTAACTGCCAATTTGTACTTCTTAATCCCTTCACTTTTTTCATCCAGTCCCTCCCGTCTGGCAACCATCAGTTTGTTTTCTGTGTCAGTGAGTGTGTGTCTGTCTTGCTTTTTTGTTTCTTTAGATTCCACATGTAAGTGAAATCGTATGGTATTTGTCTTTCACTGTACAGCCAATTTCACTTAGCTCAGTACCCTCTAGGTTCATCCATGCTATCTCAAATGGTAAAACTTCATTCCTTTTTTGGTTGAGTGATATTCCATTGCATGTATGTGTCACATCTTTATCCATTCATCTTGCATTTGAAGCATTTAATCCATTTACATTTAAAGTAATGATTGATGGGTATGTAGTTATTACCATTTTATTGTTTTTGTAGTTCTTCTCTGTTCTTTTTCTCTTGTTGTCTTTTCTTGGATGTTGATGACTTTCTGTAGTGTTGTATTTATAATCCTTCCTCTTTATTCCTTGTATATATCTTCTGTAGATTTTGATCTGTGGTTACTGTGTACTTCATATAAACTAAGCTATGTTTACAGCAGTCTGTTGTAAGTTAATGGACATTTAAGTTTGACCACATTTTATAACCACTGCCTTTTTTTTTTTACTCCTCCACATTTATGTTTTTGTCATTATTTTTTACTTTGTGTATGTGTACTTGTTTGTATTCCTTAATTTACTGTTGTAATTACATATAGTTTTCCTACCTTTGCCTTTAACCTTTGTACTAGCTTTAGTGTTGGTTGATCCACTGCTTTTATTATGTGTTTGCCTTTGTCAGTGAGAATTTTTTTCTTTGTGATATTTTCTTATTCATGGGTTTTTTCTTCTTCAAGAAGTCCCTTTGACATACCTGTGATACAGGTTTGGTGGTGAAGAACTCCTTCAGCTTTTTCTTGTCTGGAAAGCTCTTTGTCTTTACTTCTATTTTAAATGACAGCTTTGCTGGCTAGAGTAATCTTGGTTGTAGGTCCTTGCTCTTTATCGCTTTGAATATTTTATTTTATATAATCCAAGTGATGGATTATATCCAGTAAACAAATCCTGTTCAGGGGGTTTATTTTACTGGATATAATCAGGAACCCACAGTGGTCCCAACCATGACATTAACTGTGATATAAATTTTGAGGAAAACTTTATAGTGAGGTTGAAATGTATCATATTTATATGTAGTTACAATATGCATGGATATAGATAAATATATCCATGTAAGAATCTTTTAAGGGATTTCTAGAATCTGAATCTTTTCTGCTACTTGGACCTATTAATATATTCCTGTCACTTGCTACATTCAGGTACAATCTTAAGTCAGTTTTATCACTAGTATTAATCAAATACTGTACTTGAAAGATGGAAATTTTCGCCTTCTAAAATTACATTTGTGTTGTCCTACTGTGCCATTCTAGATCCCCAGCTCACCTTGTCCCATTTTCTCCTCTTTTGTGCCCTGACTAAAGAGAGTTGATTAATGAACCCATTTATTCATTTCCTACTGATTCCATGACATGCCCTAATTCAGCTTCAAATATTTTTTATGTCCTTTAAATTTAATAGTTCCTGCCGCAGTTTTCTTGTTCTTTTCACTTTTGGCTGTTGACATTCCTCTAATCCCTGAGAATATTGGGGACATTTAAAGTAAGTTGCTCCTGCTCCTGTCTTTCATCTATTTATTTGAATGTGTATCCTATCTCTGGACTTTCTTTTTTATCTCTTCTTCAGGTTCACATGCTGGTATTCCTTAGCATTTTTATTAAGGCTAATCTTTTTATTTGTGGTCTACTTAATCTAGCCTCTCCATTTTCTGTTGACTTTTTTTTTTTTTTACCCCCTCTGTGTTGGGTGGGAGTAGGGGGAGGTGATGGCATGCTTTTGTTTTTTTGAGGTGAAAACATGGAACTCTTTTAAACTGCTTCCCATACTCTGCCTGCTCCATTACTGAGTTAGGTGAAATTGCACCTCTTGCCGCTTTTCTTTGCCCGTATTTCCTCTTTAGCCTTCTGACTTTACATAACTGCTGAAATGTAAAATTACTTGTTGTGGGCAGTGCATAAATTTCTTCTCCATTAACCTTCATAAATGATCTTGTATTATACAGGAAGAATGGAATAGTTTCAAACATGGGCTCTGGAGCCAGACTTTCTTAGCTTTCATGATTAGGATTTTACTGCTATACATAGTTGGCTCTTGAACAATGCTTGTTTGAACTACGCAGGTCTACTTATATGCGGATTTCTTTCAGTTTACTTGTGCAGTTCAGACCCAAGTTGGTGGCTGAGAATCCACAGATTTAGAAGGCCAACTTAAGTTACAGGGTCAACTGTAAATTTTACTTGGGTATAGCTCTGATTATTAAGAAATTCAGTGACCTTTTCTCAGTCTTCCTTTCTGTTGACATCTTTGCCTCATTTAACAACTCTTGATTTTCCTTTTGTCTTACTGATTTATCTTTCTAAATATCAGTATAATTTAGCAGTTAAGAAACAGTACGGAGATTGAGGTCACACCTGGGTTTGACAAATGTCATTTCATTTTAAACTTTAATTTCTTCTATAAAATAAATAGTATGGCGAAGGTCTGTTGTTAGAATCAAATGAGCTGCATTTTTAAAGCAGTGCATAGCCTCTCATACCTAATAAGTGGTTTATAAATATCACTTCTCATTGTTCCAATTCCCATCTTCCAGCCAGCCTTGGCCTTACCATAGATTTTAGTCACAATTCCTCCCTTTTTCCTCCACCTACATTCAGTCAGTGAGCAGATCATATTAGCCCTACCACACTAGTTCAAGCTGTCTTTTTCCTGGATTTTAATGATTTTATAGTTGTCTTCAGTGCTTCCACCATTTGCATCTTACCACATACCCTTTCATACCTCAGTTTGTGCTCCACACAGCAACAAGAGTGATAATGATTGTTAAAGGGTGAATGAAGTCACCCCACGTTAATTTTCAATTTAAAACTCTGGAGCCCGGCCAGGCGTGGCTCAGCGGTTAAGCGTCGACCTAGGATCCAGGCAATCAGGGTTCGATTCCCGGTCAGGGCACATGCGCGGGTTGTGGGCTGCAGCCGATCAATGACTCTCTCATCATTGATGTTTCTATCTCTCTCTCTCCCTCTCCTTTCCTCTCTCTGAAATCAATAAAGATATTGAAGAAAAAAAAAACATTAAAAAAAAACAACAAAAAACTCTGGAATGGCTTTTCCTCTCATGCAGGATAAAAGATTGATAACAATAGTCTAAAAAATACAGCATCTGCTTTACTCCCTGTCATCTCCTGCTACTTTCTTTGCTCACCTGGTTCCAGCCACACTGGATTCATACTATTCCTTGGAACATGTGAAATAAGTTTTTGGACATTTGTTCTTGCTCTTCTCTTGGCTGGAAATGCCTCACTCCTTCATTTTCTTTAGATGTCTGCTCAAACATTACCCTTCTCTGAAATCTTATGTAAAGTAGAAAGCTCCCTGCTCTTCATTGCTTTATTTTTCTTTATTATTATTGTTGTCATCACCTAACACACTATGTCTTATTTATTTATTGGTGTTCTTCTCCTACTAGAGTACAGATCACAGAAAGGCAGGTTCTCTTATTAACTGCTGTTTTTCCTGAGTCTAGAACTGTGTCGAGAACATAGTATGTACTCAACTTTACATATATTGAATAAATCATTTTCTAGTAGATTATAAAGTATAAAAATTGAACAAGAATCATGAAGTATAGAGTATAGGTGTGAGTAATGCTAAAAATTAGAAAGTATAATAAAATTTTTCCCGTTTTTAAAAAAGACATCAGGTTTGGCTGAGCTATATTTTTAACTAAATAATACAAAATTTCAATGCTATTTAAATTATTCCTGACAAAAGATGGAAAACTTCCAAAAAGATTTGGACAAATAGGTCAATAAAACAGAATAAAGCACTCAGAAACAAATTCACACATATATACACATTTAATTTATAATAAGAATGGTCTTTTACAGCAGTGATATGAGGATTTCTTTTTTAAAATAAGTGGTGTTGGATTAACTAAATGTGTTACTTGTAGTTAATCCATCCTTACATTCCTAGAATTAACTCAATTTACTACTCATGGATATAATTATTGTTAGTTTTAATATAGTTTTGCATTTATATATATAAATAAAATTTATCTACAGTTTGCTTTTTTGGTAATATTTTTAGTCTGGTTTTGGTATAGTATACAGTTTTTATTACACAGATTGGACTTTAGCTGAATCATACAGTTTTTAGTATGTTCTTTTGTTAGTATGCCAGTGATATGTAGGCCAAGGAAAAGTTTGGTTTCTTTCAACCAACCCTAACTCCCTGACCTCCAAAATAGGATAGTAACAAAATTCATTATTAGCTACTTTGTTTTGTTTCAAAGGTTTAGAAGACTAGACAGTTTATACTTGTAGCTATTTTGAATTTAATAGCTTTGCCAGTATATTGTATAAAGTTCCTAATTTTTAATAATTCTATTATAGTTAATACAGGATTTTACGTTGTACTATGAAATATTTTATTATCTTTTAACATTCTGTGTTTAAGACTGCTTAGAATGGTTTGCTACAATGTAAAAAGTACCATTTTTACAAAAGGTAAGTAAAATCCAAAGTTTTTACTTACACAAAGACTGATTTTAAGTGATAATGAAAGCCTTGCTTTCCAAAGAAAATCTGAGGGGGGAACCTCTGATACTTAAGAGCTATGAGGCATGATTTAGTGGTTATCTTGGCATCGAACATTGTTATATTTACTCATGTAAATATTCAACACAGAAGATTTTTGTTGAATTTATGTTTTTAATACATGTATTTATGTTCTTATTTTTCTTTTTAAAGTGTAAAGAAAGAATGAGGCCTGTCAAAGCAGCTTTGAAACAACTTGATAGGCCTGAGAAAGGCCTTTCAGAAAGAGAACAACTGGAGCATACTAGACAGTGTTTAATAAAAATTGGAGACCATATCACGGAATGTCTGAAGGAGTATACAAATCCTGAACAAATCAAGCAGTGGAGAAAGTAAGTGCTGTACTTTCAGGAAGTGTTAAATTTGTGGTTCTGTAACCATCTATTTGTTTCTCATATCAATTTATTTTTCTATTTTTGAAATTTAATAACAGTAACATTTAGAAAGGTAACTTGAGAATGATTGTTTTTACTATTTTTTCTATTCGTGAGTGATCGATTAATTATGCATCATGATAATCATAGTTGGTATCTCTGCCTTTAAATAAAAAATAATGAAAGCTGTTTCATTAAAATTTAGATTGTGTTTGTTTTTTTAAAATTTTCACAATTCACCATTATTTTCAGTATCTTTAGATATTGGTGTTCCCAACAAGTAAATTTATTGTTACATATACTTAGCAATTTATCTTTTGGGTATAAGTATAAAGCCTTGTAAAAATTAATGTCCTCAAGCAATGTAAAATGCAGAATTCCCCTTTATTTTAGAAGCAGTAACAACACAGTTGATCTTAAAATTGTAAAACTCAACTGCTATGTTATACAAATCACTTAATGATTACCAGGTCCAGATCAGTGTTAAACCAAACTAATACACAACTTAGGAAAAAATAAAATGAACACAAACCAGTCCCTGATAGCAGTGCAGCTACACATCAGCATAAAAAGCTGTAATAACATATTTCTGGAGGAATGATTATGATTACTCTAAAGTAAAAAAAAAAAATCTATGCTTGTCCCTTTTCTCCTTATATTCAACCAGGACCCATTTTAGCAAGAGGAGATAGGAAACTGGTCACATAAATTATGCTTTTATGTCTAAAGAAATTAAGACCATGCATGGACAATAATAATGGCCTGAAATCGTGCCTATAATGCCATGTAGTAATCACTAGAGTGGCATCAGAAGTTGTGCTCAGTCCCCATCTTGGCTAATTTTGGGCTTTATGACCGTGTTGAATAGTTGCCAATATCTCTGAGCCCCCTGGTGTTATCATTGGTGAGATGATAACATCTGTATTTGAAGCTCTTCATAAATTGTAAGGCACTATATATTTTCCGCTTATTGAATGATAATGGTAACATGGAGTATGAGGAATGGGAGAGAGTAATCCTAAAGCGCTGTATTCACATATTCTAGCTTAAGCTTTTTTTTTTGGCTGGACGCATGTACTTATGGGAGCACTGATGCTTTCCTTAAATAACACAGAAAAATGTCATCCTTTTCGAGGTCTCCCAACTCGTCTGACCATTTCCAAAGCTCAGAGTATCGGTCAAGAATACAATAAAGTTCAACTATGTATATTAGGCTTTCGTGGGAAACTATCTTTTTACATTCAAGATCCAAAGTTAAATTTTCTCTGACAGTGGCTCCCAAACATGTTCTTGATTGTCACTTAGCTGTGATAAAATTGGGAAAATAAAGGCAATGCACTGAATTATTCTTAACGCTAAATTTAGTTAATTTAAAGGATCATATTCAGCGTCTTTCCTACTTTTTAATGTAAAAGAGCTTGGGTTCCATCTGAAAATATTTCAGTGTATACTATATACCAGTTTTTAAAACCTTATGATTAGAGTTCAGATTTTTAAGGTTGTAAAGAGGGAGAAAAACTATTTTACTTGATAGAAAGATGAGAAATAAATATCTTGTTGAAATTATGTAGTCAGTAATACAAATATATGCTATTTCAGGTTTAGTTTATTAGGAAAAGGGGAGTGGAGGGAGAAACCCTCTAAAACAGAAGAGACTAGTAGCTGGCGTCTCATTTATTCATGGTGCCTTTCCCTCCATAGGTCTGGTCCTTGTTTTTCTCCCAGGTGGGCACCTTACCTTTTTGTTTTCCTCCCACTTAGTTCTTATCGACCTTGACGTCATTGGTAATCGATTCCATGGCGTAATGTAGCCTAGGGAATGCTGCTCAATTTTTTGAACCATTTCCGACCTACCCCATTGTCTGTTAAAACTCTCCATTGGTAAAAGAACTTAGACGTTGTGAAAAGGCATAACAGAACTTTTCTGATATGTTTTGGGGCTATATATTAATTTGCAAAACTCAGCAAGTGTAAACTTAAAAATTGTGCATTTTATTGTATCTATATTTTATTTTTAAAAGAATAAACAGGTATTGAGTAGTTGGTGTTATGCATGCTGAAGTATTTAGGGGGAGAAATACTATTATCTGCATTTGTCTTTGAAATGCAAACAAAAATTACATGGGTTGACGGAGAGATGGATGTGTGAAATGATGTCATAGAGCAAGCATAGTCAAATGTGAATAATAGAATATAGGTACTGATCTATGTTTGAAAATTTTCATGATGTTGAAAAAAATTAAGAAACAATAATCTGTGCATATGTATTGTGAAGGTGTCCCATTAGTTTAAAATAGCCTGATAATATTAGTCTTTATACCTGAATGTGCTGCAATTTATTTCAGTACCCTGATTTTACAGGTTATAAAGTACCACTGTAAGAGCAAATTTTGAGAGCATTATGCATGTATATGTCCATTAAATATTAGGATATAGGTGACTGCTCTTTAAATTGCAATGCATTTTTACAGTCTTGTTTTTGTAAAATTATAGTCCAAAATATTGATGAAGAATGTCATTATATGCTGCAGTTAAGCAGACAACCTTCAGAAACTAAATTGATAATACTAATGGTAATTTATATAATTAATACAGAGAAAGCCACAACTGACTAACAACACTGATAAGAATTCTAGAAAAATCACCAGATACCCACCTCCATATGCACATGTGCTGGGATATTTTTGCAGTTAATGTGTAACTCACAGACTTACGCATTCCAAAATTTACTAACACCTAGCAATTTTTTAATAGTTTACTAGCCAGCAGTTATTCCTACATGTCAAAGCCCAAAATCAAAAGGCTGGGAATTATCTGAGTGGAAAGCAAGTTAGGAGCCCTGTCTTCTAGCCTACCTTATCTCTATAAGTCACTTAGCCTCTTATCTCATTTGCTTGTTTATTTTTAAAATAGGCTGCTATATTTACTACACATACTGCCTACAGGTTATTTGTGAAATTAAATAACAGAAAAGAGCTTTGAAACTATAAAAACTGTTTAATATACCTGTTACCAATAGTATCTTCTGCAAGGCTAACTTAATGTCTGCTTTGTAGTGATAAGCAATAGATACTTGATGTTTGAAATATGTGTCAGTTGTTTAGAATCCCCAAATTAAGTGCTTCCATATACTTTCTCCCATAAAACAGAATGAAAAGTTACTATCCAGTTAAGAATTTTTGCTCTCTCAGATGGTCTTCCTTCAACCAATGTCACTGGAAGATGGCTTTCTTTTGGGGAGTCATTATTCATACAAAGGGTTGGGTTTTTTTTAATTCCTTAAAATGGATTGGTTGACTCATTAAAGATGTTGATGTTGGGTAATCTAAACTCTGTCATTGGCTAATTAGTAATTCCTCTACCCTGTTTATATAAGCAAGATTCAAACCATACTTTAAAATACCTACTGAAAAACATTTAAGAAAAAATTGTGAATATGTGAAACCATTTCAATGATAGCAGGTAGTCTTCAATTTATGAGTGGCTGCTTAGGAAGCTGTGTTGAGAAGCATTCATAGGCTGCATCTGAATTTATCATGAAATTCTGCGATCAGTTACTAATTCTTGACTCTATGCTGTTCGTGGTTTGTAGTGTCTGGTCATGTTATTCTCATGACCATTACATTACAATTATACAATGACAATTGTTTTCTAGTGTATTATTTACGACCCTTTTTTCACAAGTGTATATCATCTGATGGTATATTTATTCAGGTTACTAACATAGCTTATTCCTTTTACAGTTAATCTGAATTACATTATGAGTGAGTCCTTTCCTGATTTGTAAATTTACATCTCTGGTTTCAGATTAGGATTACTACTTTTCACTCCAAAAATTATAAAGTGAAGGGATTTGGAAGAGAAGTCAAACTTAATGTTTAGAATCATTTAGAGTTTTATTCATATATGAAGTTTTAAAAAAACACTAGAAATAATCTTCTTAGACTTTATTCCATAGAGGGCAAAGTATGTGTGCATGTGTGTTTCCATCCAGAGGGAACTATGAACAAGCCAAATATTTTTCACCAGACTAATTTGCCTCTTTTTCCTCTAGAAACCTGTGGATTTTCGTATCTAAGTTTACTGAGTTTGATGCAAGAAAATTACATAAGTTATATAAGCACGCTATTAAAAAACGGCAGGAATCTCAGGTAAAGTAACACATCATTTTTTTTCTTATTTATGTTATTAAAACTGTGAGACAGTCTTCCTTAGAGAAGAATTCAGTTAATAAATAGAAGGAATGAAGGAAATAGAAAATTACCACTAGAGTACCAGTTAAGAATTTTTGCAGGTTAGATCCTCTGAAGGAAGCTAAAATTAGTGAACAGGAAACCAGATATTGGCATAGCCTAAAAGTATCTCCTCCAAGATGTTTATTCATTACAAAGAGAAACAACAACTTTTAGGAGAGAAACTAAGTGTTATATGGAGTTCTAGATTGGATCCTGGAGCAGAAAAAGGATCTCAGTGGGAAAATGTAAAATCTGAGTGAAGTGTGTAGTTCAGTTAGCAGTGTTGTACCGATGCTAACTGCTTAGTGTGATCATTATCCTGTGGTTATATAAGATACTAGCTTTAGGAGCAGCGGTGAGGAAGTCCTGTGGGAACTCTTTGGGACTATTTTTGCAGCTTTTCTGTGAAGTCTAAAATTATTTCAAGGTCGGATTTTTTAATGTCATGAGACAAGTAGTTTATGTTTTTTTTTAAAAAAGATCTGCAAATGCTATGTACATACATTCTAATATCTTATGTAAGGACATCTTTTAGCTTCGAGATTTTTTTTTTAGCCCTCCCTCCACCCCCACATGTTGTAATGTTTTTTGACACCACTTAAAAGATTCTTACATGTGTGCATTTATTTTAGCAAAATAATGACCAGAACAGCAACGTGAATGTTCAAGTTATTAGAAATCCAGGTAAGTCAGTCTTACTAATTGTTTTAGAAAGCACATTTAAAAATACTTTTCCCTTTTGGGGTTTGTTTTAGACAATGCATACCCACATGATTATATTGAATCTATTATCTTACATAATCCTTTTTTGTTTATTATTAGCCTTTCCATAAATCACCTTTTAACAGTTTCTAGAAATTGTAGATAATTGTTAAAATATGACAGATTGTTAAAATGGTGGTAAAAAAATAAATTTAGAATAGTACATTTTTCCATACAAGAATCACAAAAGTATAGTCTGGCTCAGAAGGAAATGGGCCTTATATATTTCAGTTGTGATTTTTCACATTTCAGAATAAAGTGACCCTTTTGTAAGTCTTAGTACTGCTTTCATAGACCATTCCTAAGTGCTTTAACTACCTATATTTTGTTTAGCTGGAGTTGAAACGAGTTCTTGTAATGTAGCAGCAAAGTTACTTTTGTTCACCATGTGTTTTTTTGAAGTCATTAACAAAAGTTGGGTTTTTTTATCTAACAGATGTGGAAAGATTAAAAGAAAATACAAATCACGATGATAGCAGCAGGGACAGTTATTCTTCTGATAGACACTTATCTCAGTATCACGATCATCATAAAGACCGACATCAGGGAGATTCTTACAAAAAGAGTGACTCTAGGAAAAGGCCCTATTCTTCTTTTAGTAATGGGAAAGATCATCGTGATTGGGATCACTACAAGCAAGACAGCAGGTAAACCTGACAGTCTTTTAAAATTTTGCTTGTTAATGTTTTCCTGTTTTTTATTTTATTTACTGCATTTGACCTTACTAGCCACTTCAGACATCAAGTAATCAAACAAGCCTTATGTGAAATAAAGGTGCTTATTCATAAATAAGAAAAATATGAATTCTAGTTCTCGTTGTTAATATTAAGAGCTGGATTACTCTGTGTCTTAAATTATAAATTTCAGATCAAAGTGCAATAAGAGACTAAAGTATAGGGAGTTCTATAATTATGTCGCAGGATTCATTGTTGGTTTTAGAGAATATTCACCCCAAAACTCTTCAAAATAGAATAGAGTAGGATAAAGCTTGATGGAATATGGCTAAAACTTGATAGAGGGAATTCTCTATTCCATTCTATTTTAAGAAAAACTCATGGGGAAAATTTTTATGTGAAAGCATCTTATTGCAGTTAAATTTAATCACAGCATCTAGATGGTCCTGAAATCAGGATGTTTTTGTTTGTTTATTGTTTTGGGAGTTTTTTTGAAGCCTTTAAACAACCTGAATATTATGACAAAAATAATACATTTTATTCCTTTATTAGTAAAGGAATATTTTCACTGGTTAATGATCATTACTAAAAGCAAAATGAGTAAAAGTAAAGATGAGACATAAAGAAATCAGATTTTTTTTGGATTTTAATTGTGCTCACTGCAATAATTTCTTCTCTCTGAGAAGCACAATTATATTATAAATACATCAATTGTAGAATGGCTTTTACAATTAGAAAAGGGCACAAAATGTAGTTGATATTTGTAACTTCACAGGCTTATAGAAATAATTTATATTATTTATAATAGGGACCTTTCATGAACAAAAAAACATCAAATGTTTAATTAATCAAGCCTAAGGAAAGCTTTTAGAAGGCACCAGCAAACCAGTGAAAATTCTCTTTTACAAGTTATTTCATAGACTGCACTTCAGAGGTTTTTATTTTTTTCTTCTTAGAGCCTCATAAAAAGGCTCTGATTTCAAGTGTATTCTAGGTTGTTGTAGTTATCTTAATTCTAGCTTCCAGGTAATTAAGGTGCATTAATACAAATGATGCATAAAATAAAAAGTAGCAACAATATAAAATGGGCATGTGAAATTAGATGCTATATGAGGTGGTCTTTATGGTTCACTTTAGTTTTATGAATCAAATAGTTCTTCAAAGGCACAGTTATTTCCAGTGATTTTTTTTTTTTTAAAGCTTATGAAGTTTTGTAATGAAACACTGACCTCATATACAATTAAAAGTATGCTTTATTTTTTATTTTTAATAAGGTGTTATTTATTTGGAAACATTTAATTTCCATTATTAATTTAACTAAAATTCCTAATTTCTCTTTTGTTAGGTATTACAGTGATAGAGAGAAACACAGAAAACTGGATGATCACAGGAGTAGAGATCACAGGTCAAATTTGGAAGGGAGTTTAAAAGATAGACCTCATTCGGATCATCGTTCTCATTCAGATCATCGGTTACATTCAGATCATCGGTCAAGTTCTGAATATACGCATCATAAATCTTCCAGGGATTATAGGTATCACTCAGATTGGCAAATGGACCACAGAGCTTCCAGTAGTGGGCCCAGATCACCACTAGATCAGAGGTCTCCTTATGGCTCCAGATCTCCATTTGAGCACTCAATTGAACACAAAAGTACACCTGAGCATACCTGGAGTAATCGGAAAACATAACAAAAACTGATATTTTGTCTTTCCGGACTTTTCTTTTAGCCATATATCATAAACCAACACAGTAATTGCCTTACATGACTTGAAAGCTATAAACAGATCTTCTATCAGTAGCAGTATTGTTACTTCTTTCCAGGATGCAAGGTCTATATCCCAACAGAAGAGAAAATATTTTTATATTTAAGGATTATGCTGCACTGTACTACAAATATTGTAGTACTTTTTTTTTTTTCTTTTTTAAAGAAATGGAAAATGTTTACTCTTACAGGGACCTCAACACTGCCCTTCCATATAGGCTGGATAAAACTGTTTCTAAGTCAGTGATTTTAGACTGACCTCCATTTAAATTATGTTTGTATATGAACTTTACTCTGACCTGTGATCATGTTTCAGGAAGGAATGAAAGAGAGTTCTTTTCTTAATAAAGAAAAAACACTCAAGGATTTTGTTCACTTTCCAAAGCTACTTGTTTACATTGTACACTGCGACCACCTTGCCGCTTTTCATCACAAGCTTGAATATTTAAATTCTGTACTTATATCTGTAAAATAGCCAGGAACTTCCTGTTTGTGATCTATTATTATGCCTTTTTACATACACACACAAAAAAATTGACTGTAAATTATTGTAAATAGATTAAATGAGCTTTCCTTACTTCCCTTTCTCAGGCTTTTTTTGACTGTTCCTTTCCCTACCAACTCAGGCCTTCTTATTGTTTAAAAAAAAAAAAAAATCAGTGTAGTAACACTTTTTAATGATTTGTCTTGATGGAATCATTGTTTAGAATGTAAAAAATGGGGAAAGGGGCCACTTAATTCCATTAGTCCTCTTTTTATATTGACTATTTTATTAGATACATGTTCTTTCCTTTTACCTTTTAATTTTATTTTATTTTTTGGTCAATATTGTGTTTGTAGTAGCAAAATGGTGAGATAATATGTAAAGTCTAAACTGCATGCTCTGGAAACATTATTTTCAGATGCATTTGGTTTAAAAGGGTAGGTGTATGAACACTTTCAGAATCCAAAATGGCCAAAAGTTATTGTAAATCCATTTGTTTTCCCTTTTCATGTGGGCAATAATGTCAAATGTGCTATGCAGCCAGGTAACATTTTAGATAAATTTGATTGACTTTTAATATAAACTGTTACAATGCACACTGATTGTATATAAAAACCTTATATATGACAAATTAAATTTAAGAAAAAGGATATGTGGGCTCCTGTAATTTTCTGCTGCATTTTTATTCCCTCAAGCACTTAACTTTTTTTCTTTTTTAAAGTAGTAACATTTAGCTGCCAGGAAAAGGATATTTTGGTAAGCAGTTGAATATAGTTAATGTGTAGCACTACAACTAAATCTATTTTGAAGACTATGAATCTATGAAGTAAAATTTAGATCATAGAAATTTTTGTTGGAATATTTGGTTTTCTGCAGATATTATTTTAGAATACCTTATATTTATTCACAGATTTTTATTTTGTTATATTCAATGGGAATTTTTGACTCATGGAGCATACATTCTTGGGTGTGTGCTGTGATGTAACAAATTTGAACCTTAACTTTGACAAGTATATTGATATTTTCTAACAATATTCTTAAGTGTATCCCTATTAATTTAGCTATGGGAGCAATCTAGAGAAATTTGTTCATAGATGTATTTTTTAAACATTTTTTGTTTATCCAATTAGGTCTAAAATTTACACTAAGAGTTACAAAACAAAGCTCGCTTTCCAGTTATTTTTGTTGTTTTTAAGCAGTAATTCCTCTTTTAGGTAGTTGCCATGAAGAGTGCTGATCTTTTTTTTCCTGGTATATCACATAACAGGGATAATTCAATTTTTAAATATCTTATTTATAATTAAATATAAACATGAAAAAACAATTCAGTAGCGGTACACATTTTTGAGCTTTTTCACTTTTTACCACTTTTACTATAAGTGATTCTTTTATTCCACAAGATAGCAGTGAATAAAATAATGTAATGCTTAGAAGTCACAATATTAACACAGAACAGATCAGGGTTGGCATTTTTAATTCATCTCTTTGTAGCTGGGATATTTGCATTATATCCTATTGTGCAAATTTCGTGAAACAGTATTACATTTTTTGAGACAATAGAATGGACTCTATAACATTCTTAACAATTCTACATTTAGTTGAATATTTCAGTCAACTAATTAGCTGAGTTGAGTGAAAAATCTAAAACTGTATGTAACATTAATCGATGGAAAATATGTTCATTATTTGTAAGAAGTCAGTAATTACATAGAAGAGGAATAAGCCATAAATTTATTAAAACACAATGGAGAACATTAGTACATAGATATAATGGGACATTCTCGATAAAATATGCTTAATTTTTGTCTTACATGCTCATTCTGCTTTGCATTTTTATCCATTTGTGTTTAATTTTTCAAGGATGAGAGATTATGCATAGTACTGTACCAATTAACCTTCCACTTAATAATATACAATAAATGATTCTTACTAAAAGCAATGGCCTGTTTGCTTATAAAGAAAATATTTTTGTGTAGGGTATGTTAGAAAATAATTCTCAGGCTGGAAAGCTGTGGAAAACTGGAGTGTGAATGATTTGTTCATTATTTGCAGAGTGACTGGCTTAGTAAAATTAGAACCTTGACAGTTGTGTACAATGTAGTAGATGTAACTCCATTTGCAATCTTTTTGTAGTTAAATAATGAAAGGGTTGTGTAGATTTTGTGCTGATTTACACATTTTGTTTTTTTGAGATTTATCAAGAATATGCACTAGGGATAAAGGTCATAATTCTTATCTATGCAGCATATGACTCTTTCTGACTAGAAAATGCTCTTTGGACCATAAATGTCATAGCTTTATAACTGACAGTTTTGTGGGGGAGAGGGATGGAAAAGCAGCTAATTTTTATGGGATTTTTTTAGACTTCATCTGAAACTTAAATGTGAGCTGGTAATGTGATTTAATTGTTAAAACTTTGAGTAGTTTATTAGTTAACAAATAATGCAAAATATAAATTAAAATATTTCTGAATTGATATATTTAAGCATATTAATATAGATGCCCCTATCAAACAGATTACTTAAATTCAAGACAATACAAACAAAACTATTGAATGCTTGTTAAGGGGAGGCAAACTAGGATAGTACAAAATATCTTGAGAGAAAACATTAAAACTTCTGTGGTACAATTCTTAAGGCATGTTTTAAATATTTAAAAGAAAATTCAATTGGAATTATGTTTTCTGGCAATAACTATAGTGGCTTTGTAGATCTCTTTATGCTAATTTTTCTTATTTTTTTAGAACCTAATGAGGTTGATTTTATTATAGAAAATCTGGATTCTTTATAAAGAAAGACCTAGGGATAGGAAATAGCTATGCTAAAGAATGAAAGAGGTGATTACTTGGATAGGGTTAAAAAAGTACTTGGCAGATTTTTCCAAGTTTCTATATAAATTCTCCAATGGGGCTTCATGTGCCAGACTTTCTACCCTAAAAGACTGTTAGCCACCTTCTCCTCTAGTTTAAAAAACAAAACACTCAAACCTTTATTTGAAACAGGATTAGTAGTTCAGACACCCAAATGAATGAGAAGTTTTTAACTCTGCGTTCCACTCTACATTTGAGTCAATATAAATATTAAAGAGGTGTGGTCAGTCTTTAAAAAACTCCAGCTCGTAATTCTGTTAAATGAGTTAAGGGTCTTGGCTGCACTGACGATCCATGTTTCGTCTGGCAGGAACGCGGGTTGCATTGTGGTTTCGTTAGTGCAGGCGCTTGGGGCTTCCCGCGTGCAGGTGAGCGGTGGAATAGCACCGGCCCTCTTTCTTGTTTTTCTCTCTGTGTTTTGAAACCTTTGTCTTTGGTGTTCTGCAGCAGTGCTGTGCAAGGTGTGCTAGGTGTGGTTTTACTTTCTTTGCTCAGGTTTTGCTATTTTCGCTTTCTGGAATCCCTGTGGTGTTGCTATTAGGTGACTTCGTCTCTTCTGCCTCAACAGCTTTAGTATTTTTCCTTTTCTTTTCATTTCTCTGGAGTATCTTCAGCATCCAGTCTCCTGACCTTATCTCCAGGTGTCTAACCTTAAAACGTAGAACCACACTCAGTCCTTTCCCACCAAAGACCTTTAAAAAAAATTCCAGTGTTTCATAATCTTTGACAAATGAATGTACTCCTGTTTCACAGCTGTCCTCCATGGCACTCTCCTGGCTGCTGCTGCTCTGTTCGCTTCATTCGTGCTCTTCTCTTTGCTCTTGGACTGCCCCGAAAACCACTTCTGGGTCTTCGTATTGTCCCTCTGTAAGAATGCTTCCACCTCTGATTTATCCAAAGCTTGACCCCTCAGTTTAGGTCTCAGCTCATGTCGTTTCTGACCCCCAAATTGGTACCTTGCCCCTATCATCTTTTAAAAAAAGTTTTTAAGAGTTTACTTGGGCAAAATCAGTTAGAATTAGGCAACACCAAACCAGAAGTGATTAGGAGTGCACCGCCCCAACAGGAGCTCGGGGAGAAACTTTGGGGCCAAACCAAAGCAAGGAAATTGATTGCCAGTAGCTTAAAGCCCAGTTGGCTGTTGTGATCTGTGCCCTTCATTTACAGGTGTAACCTTGAGGCGCTCACAGGCTCAGATTTTGGTTCGCTTCTGTAGGGCCACCATGGCATTGGGGCCACCTGGGTCTAACGGCCTCCTTGTTCAGCAATTCTTGGTTCAAAGTTCTCCACCATGGCCACTGTAATTGAAGACCATCTCTTTGATAGAGGTAACCTGCTGGTTCAGCCTTAAAACAGAATTTTATTCACCTGAGGCCTCCCAGAAGCCCCCAGGTCAGCTTAGGTCAGACCCAGCCCGGTTTCCGGATCCGGTGGGGGAAAAACGCTCAGATAAAGCCGGAGGCTCATGATGCAGAGGCCAGAGCGAGGGCCCCAGGCTCCAGAGAGGCTGACCCACCAGCCACCTGCGGGCCGGTGAGCAGGACGCGCGGGCCCGCCGCCTGCCTGCTGCTCCGTGGCCCCTGGCGCCGCGGCGGGAGGTCTTTGGTTTGCTCTCCTGACACCAGAACTCTTCAAAAGTAAGCTGAGGCATATTAATTTTAAGAGCTTATATGAGTAAAAAGTGACTTAAATAGGGCAGTGCCAAAGGGGAAGCGTTCGGAGCGCTCACGTCCCTGTCATTTTACATTCCTTGCTGTGCTGCTCCTCGCACTTACCAACGCTGTCTGTCGTCGTCCGTTTGTCCTTGCGTGCCTCCTCACTGGAATGGAAGTTCCACTCGGGCAGAGACTATTTCCTTCGCTGCTGTGTCCCCGGCACCTAAAGCAGTGCCTCAGACCAACTATTTTTTCGTTATTTTGGTATCTCTCCCAGAAATGCTATGACCCATTACGGAGTTTTTTCTTGCCATTGTTACCTGACGTGTTAGTATTATTGGAAACTTCTGTATGCCTTACCCGTATCTCTGTTACTGAATCTGTGGGCTATTTTCCAGTTTTTAAACTTGACTAATCTCCTGAGGTGCTTGAGAAATATAGAAACACCTACGTTTCATTTGTAGGAATTAAAATTGGCAGAGAAAGGCTCCAAGTAATATGATTTTAGGAATTTTAATATTTATTTCATTGACTTTAATTAATGAGATTAATTCCACTGTTATAGAGAGATAATACCGACATATAAATGAAAATTTGATTTCTGTAATTTATGGCTACTTAAGAAGTACATACAATTCTTTGACCAGGTATTCAGAGATGTATATAATAGGAAAATATAAAACATTTGGTTTGTTTATACTATTTATCCTTTGAAAGACAATGTGTCTTTAGATGGCATGATACAAGTAAAGAACACAATTTGTAAAGACATAATGCAAGAGAAATTTTGCATCTCCAATGTTTTTAAAATGAAAGAGCAAAACAATTCCCTCTCACTGGTACTTGCTATTTTTTTCTCATTAAAAAATATAGGTCCAAAAAAAGTAGGTCATATTTACATAAGGTAAATTCATCTTTTTTAGGTATACAGCATGAGGAACTTTGACATATTATACTGTGGTGCAGCCACCAACGTATTTAAGATATAAAACGTTTCCAACCTAGCCCCTGGCAACTACTGATTTGACCCTAGTGTTTCATTTTTTCCATAATGTCACATGAATGGAATCATACAGAATTTAGGATTTTGAGCCTGCCTTTCACTTAGCATAATGCTTTTAAAATTCATCCACGTTTTTGCATTTATCAGTAGTTCACTCCCGTTTATTTCTGAGTAGCCGTCTTTGTTTTGGGTAAACTACAATTTGTGTTTCCATTCACCGTCTGAGTGTGTAGTCCTTTGGCTATTATGAATAAAGATGCTATAAACATTCGTGTACAGGTCTCTGGGTAGCCATTTAATTTTTCTTTGGTAAATATCTTGGAGTTGGATTGCTGGGTTGTATGATGAACTGTATTTTTTTTTTTATAAAGACTACCAAATTATTTTCCAAAATGGATATACCATTTTACATTCCCACCAGCTACAGATAGGAGTTTTTATGACTCTGTATCCATGTGAACATTGTGTATTGAAGGTTTTTTCATTTCAGCCATTCTGTTAGGTGTGTAGTGGTAACTCAATTTGCATTTTCCTGCTGACTAATGATATGCAACAGTTTTAATGTGTCTATTTGCCATCTTTATCTCTTTGGTAAAGTATCTGTTCAATTTTTTCCTGTTTTATAAAATACAATTGTGTCTTTTTCTTATTGAGTAGTCTAGCTAGAGGTTTGCCATTTTTACTGATCTTTTAAAAAATCAGCTTTTGGTTTTATTGATTTGTGTGTGTGTGTGTTTGTCTTTAGAAAAAATATTTGATTTTTGGGGGGCCATTTTAGTTTCACAGCAAAATTCAGTGGAAGGTTCAGAGATTTCGCGTATAGTCCCTACCCCCGCATCTGCACAGCCTCCCTCAGCGCCGGAATTCCTCCCCACGGTGGACTTGCGCTGACACACCATTCTCACCCCAAGCCCTAGGCTCCGTTAGGCTCACCCTTGGCGGTCTCTATGCTGTGGACTTAGGCAAATGTGTAATGACACGTATCCACCGCTATAGTACCACACAGAATAGTTTCAGTGCCCTAAAAATCCTCTCGGCTCTGCCTATTCATTCCTTCCCTCCCCCCCAACCCCTGGCAACCATTGATCCTTTGAGTGGCCCCCTATTTTTGCTGTTTCCAAAGGGTCATGCAGTTGGAATCATACAGTATGTAGCCTTTTCAGTTGGCTTCTTTCACTAAATTCCATGAGTTAAGTTTCCTCCATATCTTTTCATGGCTTGACAGCTAATTTCTTTTTAGTGCTGAAGAAAAAATCCATTGTCCAAATGTAGCAGCTTACATGTCCCTTGACATACCAAAGGACAGCTTGGTTGCTTCCAAGTTTGGGCAACTGTGAATGAAACATTCACGCAAACATTCATGCGCAGGTGTTTGTTTTCATAAGTTTCCAGATCATTTGGGTAAATA